GCCTTCATTCGCTATAAAATAAAGCTACATACGAGTAGCTTCTTTCAAGGGAATATGTATATGTATGTAATTAAATAATTCAAATAAATCTCATATTATTTTTATGTAAACTTTATTACTTTTAAGTTGTCCCTCGATGGATTCATGATGTGCTCTTACTCACGGCGAACCTTTAAATACGCTTAGCGGATTTTTGGCCCTTATAATTGGGCTGGTAACTTACTATTTACATTATATATCATAGAAAAAAATCAAGTTTTAGACTGCAAGTGAGTAAAATTTTTGAGCACCTGTGCCACCTGATACTTGAGAATTGGCTCACAGCACATGCTAGCGAGTATTTATACGCTGTACAGACTAATACTACTCGATTATCCATATTTTAAATACATTGTAAATAAGTAAGGTCTGGCAAGCTTGGGATCCTTTACTATATAAAGTAACCGAATTCGATGGTACTGAATTTACATTATATTGAAATTATTAAGTGACGCAACGAGGGTAATATTATTAAAGCGCTTGTATGACTGTATGTATGTACGCTTCTTTGCTCTGCTCTGTATCATTTTTTAATGATTTTTATTATTCATTTAACTGCTAGATACTTCTTTAAATATAAAGAACATTTTATTACAAAAAAATCCACGCCGACCAGGTAACAGACGGGACTCGAACCCTCACCCTCCGCTATCCGGGCGGATGCACTGACCTTTATACGATACCGTGCCCCTAATTGTCCTTGTCGAATTTTCTCTACTATTTCTACTTAATATCTTTACAAGTACACACATCAAAAGTGTCTAGGGATCAAGCATTTTTATGCGGATTTCTTGAGATTGAGATGTGGCTTTGTAATAAATTTATGATTTTATAAATTTATATGGATCCTTTTTGGTGCATTTCATAATTTGAATCAGGAACTGTGAATCAAATTCGAGTAAAAGATGAAAATCAGCTGTCAATATTTTCCCTATAAAAACATACAACGCATTGAAGACATTATTAGTGCTACTGTTTCCCTACTACTGATTAAAACCAACGTTATTATGGAGCGGCGACGTCATTTAAGCAGGGAAGAAATGCTCAGAGCCGTGGGAATGATAGAAGCTGGTTCCCGGCAACGTACTGTGGCTTTAGCTCTGAATACAAGTCAGAGTGTTATCAGTCGACTTTGGACACGATACCGAAGCACTGGTACCGTGGCTGAGCGCCATGGAGGACGGTATCGCTGCACCACACGGAGACAAGACCGATACATTCAAATCTTAACTCGAAGAGCTCCAACAATAACCGCCATGATGTTAGCCGTGAGGCTTCATCACTCTTCAGGGAACTTAATTAGCGACCAAACAGTCAGAAACCGCTTGCATGAAGTGAACCTTCATTCCCGAAGACCGCTACGGGTACCACCTATAGCAATGCACAATCGTAGGATTCGATATCAATGGGCTCTTGAACACAGAAATTGGGCAGAAGAACAATGGCGTTTCGTGTGCTTTTCTGATGAGTCTCGTTTTGGTATGAGACCGGATACAAGACGTATACGACACTGGAGAACCCCTGGACGCCAACAGCGATTAAAATCCTGCCAGGAAGTCCATCCTTATAGTGGTGGAACCATCATGGTATGGGCGGGTATTTGGATCGGCGGAAGAACTGAGTTGATTTGGATCAGAGGCAACCTCAACGCTCAAATTTATGCTGAGACGATTGTATCAGACGTCATCGTTCCTCTACAAGTGCAAATCGGTCCCTTATTTCAGTTAATGCATGATAATGCACGACCGCACACCGCAAGAGTTGTAAGACAGACTCTCGCCGCAGCTAACATCAATGTCCTGCCCTGGCCTGCTCAGTCGCCAGACTTGAACCCGATTGAGCATGCATGGGATATGCTACAGAGAAGAGCTCTGCCGAATATGGAGGGTATCCAGTCGCAAGAAGACCTTTTTTTGTTGTTGCAACGAACATGGGCGGCCATTCCACAGCGTGATTTGGATGAACTCATTTTGAGTATGCCAAACCGATGTTCTTGTGTTGTTAGTGTTCGCGGTAGAAATACGGATAATTAATTGTTTAAGTTACCCAATAAAATTTTAGAGAAAACTGTTATTTCAGTCTTTTTTTCGAACTTTTGTGTTAGTGGTTCAAATGTCAAAAATCCCTTTATTAGGAAAATGGCAAATTTCTTTATTAATGCAAAGGTGACTTGGTTTATCGTTACTGTGACAAACGAAAACACTTTATTTGATGAATCCTTAAAGAAAATTTTAATTAATATCAATCAGGAGAAAAGTTATTGCAAAAATATATGTTGATCCCTAGACACTTTTGATGTGTGTATTAAACATTATTTTGTACATTTACCTTAATTTTCATAATAACTATGTTTGTCCTTTCTTATTTTCTATCCTGTTTTATTTGTTAGTAAATTGCACCATCGCTGCTAGTGAAAAACTTTTGTTTCGGGCAGTTGTTTCTTCTGACCGTACCGTTTTCACTAGACGACTCGGCGACCGTTCTAAAATCGTCACAATTGTCTGCGCCGAGTTCACGGTCGCACCCCAATTTTAGACGAACACATTCATATGGCGGGAACGTCTTCAATCGTATGAAGAGGGAATCGAGACCTTGACATCGGGATTGTGTAGTTTACAGTGACACGGACGTATTTAAAAGGAGTAGACTCGTCTAGGTAGGTTATTTTTATTCGTTTGTTCGTTACTTTCAAAATTTTAAAATAAAGCTTTGGCAGAAAAAAGGTTAGGGTTTTTCTGGTAACCATTTTTTTTAATTTGTATTCCGTTATTAGTTATTAACTGTATTCCGGCGAAATGAAAACCCGTCGTTTTGCCAATCCGACTTTCGACGAAGTGCGAACAAATGTTTTATTGTGTACCTTTGGCTAGTCCCTTGATGGAAGAATAATTTCAACCATACAACTGTCTTTTTCATTAATCGGTCACATCCCAATTTCAGAGCACCATTCATTGACGACCTCCGTGGCCGAGTGGTTTATACGCCGGATTTCCATGACGCCGACTCCAGAGGTCCCCCGGGTTCGAATCCCAGTGGGGGCAGATGTTTGTGTGATGAGTACGAGCATTTGTACTCCAGTCATGGATAGATAATGCGATTCAACTAAGAATAGGACCGATTGGGCGCCATATTGTGACGTTAAAGCTGTCAATTCAAACCAAATAGGTAGAGTGAGCAAAAAAGTTTTCATTTAATAAAACTTATTTACTAAGATTAAGTGAGAAAAAACATCAGATTTTTTAATAAAATTTATTTACTAAGGTTGAGAAAAGAAAACAACCGTTTTTTAATAATATTTATTTATTAAGACTGTGTGAGAAAAAACATTAATCAAAATCTAGCTCTTCAATTCCGCTGCATTACCACCGGAGTAGTTATGAATAATCATGCACTACTACTAGGTCACATATGAACATGGATCCTTTATGTAAACGAAAGCTTTAAATCGAGTTTTAAAACGCAACTTAAAGTGACATTTGGTTGACTATTTAGGTAATCAACCATTCATAGCCCAAGCTCAATAAATGAAAAAAATATCAACCAATTATTAATTATTAATATTTGTTATTGTTTGTTTACAAATGTTTGGTTTTATTGTAGCATTGGCCGAGTGCTAAAAAAGGGTTCCAAGTTTTTTTTGCAAACCGTACTTTCAAGCGACATTTGACAGATGGAGGTCATTGGCTTTCCTATTCTTATTTGAATCGTACTATATGTACAATATATGTATTCTATCCGTTACCCTAGTATCCTATAACACAAGCCTTACAGTGCTTACTTTGGGGCTAGGCTAATTGATGTGAGTGTTGGAAATATTTATTTATTTATATATGGCGCGAGCGTCCCCAATTATATGAACAGGGAGCCGAAACCTTGACACCGGGCCTGTAATTTTGTGTGTGACACTGATGCATTTAAAAGGAGTATTTACTCGTCTAGGTCGGTTATTTTTATTTTATAATCCCTTGAAGGAAAATTAACTTTAGCCAAATCACCTATCTGTTTGATTATTTTTATCTTAAGTGAAGATGGTGAGATACAAGTTCAGTCATACCCTGGAAAGCTGTAGAATGTGAAGGGGCGAAAACTAAACTGTATGTTGGTAAGATGATTCTTAGAGATTGATAGCAAACGTTCATAAATAATCTTTTCATATAACTTACCTTATGACTTCAGTAAACTTATGGGGCGATAGTTTGATGGTAGCAAAGGATTCTTCCCTGGTTTCATAATAGAGATAAATTTAGCCGATTTTCATGCAGCAGGAATTTATCCCAGATATAAGCAACCATTCTTGTTTGCCAGTTTTGAAGTTATACTTCTTTAGGCGCGTTATGAAAAAATGATGAGAGTGAAATTTTTAGATGCGCGCGCATCACTGTAACCCAAAAGTAACAGCATGAAGTTGGCCGCGGGCGCGTTATGAAAAAATCATGTGAGTGAAATTTCGAGATGCGCGCGCATCACTGTAACACAATAGTAACACCATGAAGTTGGCCGCGGGCGCGTTATGAATGTTAGTGAACCACTAAGTGGTTAATAATCCACCATTATTAGACATCTGTTCGAAAGGTACTTTGAACGATCCACGGAGCTCCATAAGTTTCTATATAGACACAACGTGTTTTAGTTACTTACAAGTGCTAATTACATATGGACTAATAACTTAAATTCAGTAGTGATTTTAATTGAATGTTTTGAATATTTATTTAATTTTTCAAATTAAAACTGAACTTAATTGACTGTGTTAACTATCCTTTTCCAGTCCTTTTATTATTTTATTGTAATTATTAATTATTTGCATGCAATTAAAAAATATTTTTAATGATGCTAAAGAAGTATAACTTCTCACGCGCGTACATAAGTTACACGCATCCATTTTTTCTAGATAAAAAATAACCCGATTCTAAAAATGTTAAAAATGACAATAAAAAAATCCAACAAAAATCTTTACCACAATATATGTATTTAAAAAGTGATGTCATAAAATACTTTACACAATAACATTTATCAATTTATCAGTCCATTGAGGCAACATAATTGCGTCGACATATTCATATGCATAATATGAAAAAAAAACTTTATATAAAAATGTATTACCGAGCACTATGTCATAGAAAAAATAATGCATTATAAATTTATCAAGATTTCTAAAATAGCTCCGAGGACTACCTGAAAAGAAAAAATATATTTTTTATAAGTACAGTCTACGACAAATTAAAATAACTAGTAGTCGCCTGACCACTCAACGATTTTTAATACCCTAGACACAACATCACGAACAAATCGTAGCCGAATCCTGTCCAAAAGGTACATTAGACGATCCACGGAGCTCAGTATAATGATTGCGTGACAATAACAATAAAAGGCATTATTTAAATATTTGACACAGCCAAAGTCACCATTAATGCATACTCTATAAGGTCCTAATTTAAATGCATGCGTCAAAGAGTAATGACAGTTCGAAATGCAAGCTCGTAAAATTTTACGACTTGTTGTTATAGGTGGAAGAATATGTCGTCATTCTGAATGCGCTGCGCTGTTAGCAATATACCAGGTACAGAGCCCGAGGAAAAGAGACAGCTACATAACCGACCACGCATTTGAATATCACAAATATTTCCTATTAAATCACTTTATAGTAAGTAGTAGTAGTTGCCTTTTCAACGGTTCGCGCGTAACAGTGAGCCAAGAAGTGCTTGAGTGTAGTTCAAGCACTTGTTGATTGGGACACATATTAAGCGCACCTGGTGTATCTAGGCTATTAAATGTCGTTGTGGCCACATCATGACCACGGCACAGCACGGTAACGTGAAACGGCACGGTACGGCGCCGTGCCGTGGCCCAATCTTAATTAGCCGTGGGGGCGTTAATAAGTTGAAGATGATTAGGTTAGGGCCAGGCAACGAATTAGCAAATAATTGGAATACGGAAGCGGTCGAAAATTGAATGCACATTTAAACTATTTAAGGAGCTGGTGAACAAAACGGTATAATTACACATATGGTCAATCTACTTTTTTTTTTAAAGTCCGGAGGTTTCTGGCCCGTTGAATTGAAAGTTGAAATAAATACTGTAGGTATGTCGTTAACAGCTTTATACAGCTCCTGTAAAATTTAATTTTATGTAATTATACCGTTTTGTTCGCCAGCTCTTCATTAAATGATTTTGCTATTGATATGAAATTTCACATTAGTGGTATCAGGCATTATCAGAATCTGGCGTTTCAAGAATCTGTCATTTGTAGAATTTGCCGTTTGTAGAATATGGCATTCATAGAATCTGGCGTCTGACATTCCCAGAATCTGACATTTGTGGACTAAAACGTTTTATTTTATTGGCCATTCTCATTAGTTATGACGAGGTTTTAATATTTAAATAAATACATACACATGTGTTAGCTCGCTGGGGTAGCAGAACTCTTGCTCATCAGCTTGGCGACCATTTCCTGCACTCGTTTCATCTCCTCCAGCTGTGACGTCACTTGGTACAATCTGTTCTCGCGCTCGGCCACAGTCTTCTCTAGCTGTTTTATCATCTGTGACAAAGAACATAAGTTTTTAATTTAGCAGATAACAAACAACCATATAACCTGCTGATGGTAAACGGCCAACAGTTTAGCTTATCACTAGTGGCCGCCCTTGACTTGGCCCGCGTTAATTTTTGTTTTTGCAGAATTCCTCGAGGACTGAAAATTTTTTCGAGATAAAATTTATCCTATGTCTCATTCCAGGTTATAAAGTAAATGTGTACGTAATTTCATCTAAATCCGTTCAGCCGTTTTTGTGTGATTGAGTAATAATGATACGAGTGCACTTACAAACTTTCACATTTATAATTTTAAGTTAGATAAAAACAAGTCTAACGGCCCGCCCGATTGGCAAAGGCCATCATAGCTTTAAGGTGTTATGTATAGACTATAGATACTTGCAATACCAAAGTATCACTTGCACCGTTTTCCTACTTCGATTTCATCATCAACCCAGACAGAAACGCAACACCACCAAAAAGTAATGTTATTTTAAAAAAAAAATAAAATTATTTTGTTGTGAAATTTTGCAAAAAGGAGAAGTAATATTTATTTTTGAAACAATGCTGAATTTTATAGAAACGACAAACAAAAACCACTCTTGAATTTCCATTTTTATATACATTCACGTCGTTTGCCCAAAAAAATTCATTGACTTTAATACAATGTTATGTCACTAGATGGCGCTGTATCAACTATGTATATACCTAAAGCGATAAAGAAAACCATAACGCGGGTCAGACTAGATCAGCGCCATCTATTGACAAGACGAATAACTTTATTCATTTATATCAAAACATTCACCATTTTACTTTATATTATTTTAAGAATAAATGGTAGCTGCTTTCCGTACAAGTATTTCCAATCGGATGTATAGAATATTTTTACAACAAAAAATAACTAGCTAAAGAAGGTATTATGATTTTAATACCTTAATTAGTTTTATCATTAATGTTGTACCTATGAACAACTTTATGATTTAAAAAGGATTTTTTAAGTTGGATAACTTTAAGCACAACCTCGATAATAACCGATTAATAAAAAATTTTTGGTATTGATAAGAGAATGCAGTTTCATTAATTAGAAATCTGATCCCATTTCAATCAGGTTTTTAACGCAAAAAGGCAATGCTTTGACCACAACCTCACCTGATGGAAAGCGATGATGAGGCCTAAGATGGTACACGCCTGCTTAGAAGAAGCCTGTTCACTCTGGCCTTAAAGAGGTCCAGATTATATTGGTCCGGGAAAACAGACCTCGGCAAGGAGTTCCAATCCCTAGCCGTTCCCATAATGAAAGCGGAAGAAAATCGCTTAATGTTATTAGTAAGGTTTATAGTACCGTGTCCTTATGCTCTGACTCCTTCCTAAGCGCTGCTTCGGCGGCGGCCGCATCTTCCAGCTTCTTGTCCCGCTGTTTCACTCGCTCCTCAAACTTTATTAATACTCCGGCCAACTCGCTGTTCTTATTCATCTGATGGCAGATAATAGCTTTATTTAATTATATACTTTTTAAGCATTTAACTGCTTTGTGTATAAATCTAAATACAAATTTACTAGAAAAAGTTCCACGCGGACCAGGCAGCAGATGGGACTCGAACTGTCCCTATCCGGGCAAATACACCGACCCTTGTTCTACCGCGGCCCTGATGGCCGTGTTGAATTTTCTCTAGCCTTAGGTTGCAAGGCAGCGCCATCTCTTCGCATTGTAGGTAACCCACAATGAAAACCTTTACAAGTATTAAAAATTTGAAAGAAGGAATAGCAGCTATAGTTGTATTTTTAATTTTGTAAGCATTTAATTGATATGTTTAAATCTAAAGAAAATTTACAAGAAACAATTGAACAAATTTCATGAGTTTGATTCAAAGTTATAACATGAGATTTTTAAAAAATCTGTGAATGCAGTTCTAGTTATTATTAAAAATAAAATGATGTCTTCTTTCAGTAAAATATCCTATCTTCAATATTTAATATACTTTCCCTCCGTGTGAGGTAGCCGTGGGACGCCCTGTAGACATATAGATCCGTACATATATAACATATACACATAATATTACTATAAGATATATACATATAATATAAATATGATATGACACATACATACACAGACTACACATATATAAGTTTAACTAGGTACCTAAACTTACTAGATCAAAAGTATGTACATTAAATTATCAAAAATTTAATAGGTAAGCACTTACTTGCTGTTCCAGTTTCTTCTGAATCGCTTTATTTTCGGATTCAGCTTGTCGCAGACGTTCTTCGGCCTCTCTTTCACGAGCTTTCATTTCGTTTTCAATATTCTACAAAAAAACAATAGCATGTTCTAAATTAACGTGCTTTTCAATCAACCATCTGTTATAATTACAAATAGGATTGTTTCAATTGACCGCAGCATTAATTCATTTTAATTAATTAATAAACACACACGTCTTTTATATAGCTGAACTGGAAGCTAATGAAAGAATATGATATTTTACAGTCAAAGTCTATATAAGTATCTAATTACAAGACAACACTATGTCTAGTAAAAACCACAAAAATAGTTTCTTGTGTGTATACTCTATTTTATTTTATTTTAGCAGACATAAAAATACACATTTCATTACATAGTGCAGCCAGACGACAAATGCTAAGTATTAATGTTTCACTGATATAACGCTTTAAAATCACGGATGCATTTTAAAGTATTTATCTATACATATAATAAAATGGTAGGAAAATTAAAACTGTACATTGAATATTTTTATAAAAAGAATACTTGGGGTGTGATCTACAATCGATAAAGAAACCAAAAATATAGTTTTTAGAATTTTTGTCCGTTTGTCTGTATGTATGTCCGGGATAAACTCAAAAAGTACTGCATGGATTTACTTCAAATTTGTCACGAATATTATTAAGAAGTCGGGTCAACATATAGGCTACATATTATCACGACACTCCACCCCAAAGTAAATAATACGGGGGTTGGAAGTTTGTATGAAAGTCCTATGTTTTTGAAAAAAGGGACTTGAAATTTAACATTTATTCTCTATAGATGGTGTAAAGGTGTTAGTACTAATAAGAAATAAACCTCCTTTTGGGGTCAAAAAGTATGTGCCAATAACTAACTCCACGCGTACGAAGTCGCGGGCGGCCGCTAGTTCGTGTTAAATTGGAAAAACGTCTTACCGACAGCTGCGCTTTGAATTCCTTCTGCAAATTGTCTTTTTGGGTCTCTTTGTCTAGTCTCTCTGCGGCTAATTTGGCGCGGAAACCGCGCAGTGTAGTCTCCGCATCTTCAAGTTGCTTGTGTAGGTCTTCTATTGTCTTTTTATGTCTAAACAAAAAGGTATTAAAGGCCATTTCTTTTTTTAAGGAAGTCCTAGTTTAATACTTCAGCCAGATGTATAATGTAAATGGAGAGTTGTGAAAATAATTTAATCATTATCACGCTTCGACTACTCAAAGTTTAAAAGAACCATACCTATATTCATTAGTACGGTTGAAAAAAAATTGACAGAATATATCAGACAAATAAATCATTTCATATCGATTTGTTAAGCAAGTAAGATGACAAAAACTCAACAAAACTTTACTATTTTACAAAATTTATAACAGAATTTTATTAAAAGTATGAAAAAAATATTTATTTATAAGTAAAAAAATACATAAAATGAATAATTTGAAAAAAACGAAAATGAAAAAAGAATTGCATCGGCCGGGAATCGAACCCGGGCCGCCCGCGTGGCAGGCGAGCATTCTACCACTGAACCACCGATGCTGATGACTGACTTGTGAAAATTATGAATCACTATATTGTTTGCCAGCATTAAAAATTATAGATTAAAAGTACGAATATTGTTTCCAATAACTTTATTTAGCAAGTAATTACTGATGAGAGAAAAGAACTATCTATTGGACGTGGTTCTACTTATTTTAATTTACTAACACTAGAATAAGATTACTTGTTGTTACACATGTCTATGGATTTTAAAGTGTGAAATAAATGTTTGTTATTAAATCAATTTATTTTCTTCTTCTTCTTTTTAGAAAATGGCGGTGCACTTTTGTGGATTTCGCCAGACTCGAGTGATTCAGCTTGGTTGTTCAGTAGGAATTGACTTTGCTTTTTTTTTTTTTTTTTTTTTTTATTTTAAGTATGTTGTGAAAGCACAATATGTGAAAGGAGTAAACAATGTACTTGAATTTTTGTAATTGGATATCTGTTGTCTTATCTGAAAGGTAGAGACAAACACAAAAAAAAAGTCAGTAATGTTAGTTGGTTAGTCCAGAGACAAACAATTACAAGCGTATATTATTTTTGGATATATATTCACAAAGTAGGATAATAAAGGGAGAGTTAACATAGGTTAGGAGTGTTTTAAAATTTATAGGTTTGGGAATATATGGTGGAAGGATGTCATAGAGTGAAACCGGGTATTTTGGGCAACTAAAGAAAATATGTTCGGTTGTTCCTTCATCCAGCCCGCATTCACATAGTGAGCTGTCTTTAACCTTAATTTTGGCAAGGAAGACGGGGGTGTTTACGGGCCCTATTCTTAGTCTGCAAATGGTCGAAGTACACGACTTTGAGGCATTCTTAAACTTGGAAAACCAAGGTTTACTTGGGATGATATCTTGGATATCCGCATAATGTTTTCCGACCGTCTTGCTGGATAGTTTCCATTGGGAGCTCCAGGTGGTTCCCATCCGAAGACTAGCTAGGGAGGTCAAATCATGGGAGAAAACCTGGTTGTAACTGGGGCTTCCCCTAGTTATAGCGTCTTTTGCAATTAAGTCTACAACCTCATTGCCATCTATACCCGCATGGCCAGGGATCCACGCTAATGCGACTCTTATTCCTTGTCTGTGACATCTATATAAAGCATTTCTAATTTTTAAAATACAGGGGAAATTTGTTTTGTTCCGGAAAGGGTTGGACATAATTGCCTGAAGACAACTTTTAGAGTCTGAAAAGATAATGCTTTTATCAAGTTTATGTGATTCAATATACATTGTTGCCTCGAGGATAGCTATTGCTTCTGCAGTGAAGATTGAAGTGTGGGGAGGACATTTAAAGTTTAGAATAATTTTGAATTTGGGAATCCAAACTGCTGAGCCTACAGAATCTTTGTCGGAAAGTTTTGAGGCGTCTGTGTATACCTCCAGCCACTCTACCCAATTCTTTCTAATTAGAGCTTGTAAAACAAAGTCTGCGTTAGGAGTGTCCTTAGAGATGCCCAAGTCTAAGGATATGTCGGGTTGAAAGATTAGAGATGGAAACAAGTTGTCAAAGAGAGGATTTGAAACACACTGGTATATGGGGAACGGAAGACGGATGAACGAGAGAAAGCTATTAAATAGACAGGGTGGGGATTTATGTTTCCAGAATTTATTGGACGAAATGAATTCGGAAAGTTCATGGAGTTTCCCTATTAAAGGGTGATCTCTGTTCTGGATAATTTTATAAAAGAATTTATCAGCTAAATATTGTCTCCTGATAGACAGTGGAGGGTCCGTACATTCCACCTGTAGGGCGTTGATAGCTGAAGACTTTTTAGCTCCCAGAATTATGCGAAGACACTTAGACTGCAACTTATCTAGGGATTTTAGTGAAGATTTTAAGCAAGGTTCCAGTAAGAAAGATGCATAGTCCAAGTGGCTTCGAACTAGGGCGTTGTAAAGTAACTTCTGACAGAAGGGATGGGCTCCCCACCAGGTTCCAGACAGAGATCGAAGAATATTTATATTTTTTTCGCACTTTTTAACTACATGGGCGATGTGATGAAATCCGGTCATTTTTGAATCAAGGACCACTCCAAGGAACTTGGCCTGGTTTTTTACTGGAATGGTTTGACCTTCAAACTTGATAATGGTATTGGGAGTATTTCTGGAGCGAGTAAAAATTACAATATTACTCTTCATAACTGAAAGTGAAAGGCCATGGTCAGATAACCAATTATCTAAATATGACAAAGCCATATTGAGGCGGGACTTGGAAGCTTCATGGTTAGAATCTGAGACATATAGACATATGTCATCTGCATATTGCAGGACGTTACAGAATGAGTTGAGAGAAAGTTCTAGATCGTATGTATATAGATTATAAAGAAGAGGGCTTAGGACAAACCCCTGGGGTAGACCTTTCCAGACTGATCTTGGTGGAAGAAGAGAATTATTTAAGCAAACTTGTATTGAGCGTGCAGACAGGAGACTGAATGTTATGTTTATAAGCCTCACGGGGATACTCAGCTTGAGCAGTTTTTGCCTGAGTAGCGGAAGCAGAACATTGTCATATGCAGATGACACATCTAAGAACACTCCTGTTACATTCTCGTTTTTAGATAAGCCGATCCAAATATCAGATAGAAAAATGCTAAGGCTGTCCATGGTACTCATACCCTTTCTAAAACCAAATTGGCTTTTAGCCAGAAGGCCTCTACTTTCCACAATCCATTCAAGTCGGTTTTTAACTAAGTGCTCTAAAATTTTGGACATAGTGCAAGAAAGAGCAATGGGCCTATATCCGTTCGGATCATTGCTAAGCTTTCCAGGTTTTAGAATGGGAATGATGATTTGGGTTTTCCACTCTTCCGGGGGAAGCCCTGAGAGGAAAATGAAATTAAGGATATTCAAAAATAGGTCCTTGGATGCTAAAGAACTGTTGATAATAAAGGAATATGGAATACCATCAACACCTGGAGAGGAGTCCCTCAGGCCGTTCAGTACGGCAGAAAGTTCCTCTACAGAGAATGGTGCATCAAATTCTGTTAAGTGCGCAGGTAAAGGAATAAGAGAAATGATTGCCTCGCTACTAGTGGGGACTGACGGTGGAGCTAATTTGTTTTGGAATGAATCCAACCACTCTGAGGGATCATTAGAGGAGATGTTAAAAACGTCGGACATTGAACACCTAAATCTCCTAACATTCCTCCAGACCATAGAGGGAGGAGATTTAGGAGAAAGGGCTTCGCAGAATCTATGCCAACCAAGCCTTTTTTTGGCCTTAAGAGTTTTGGTAGCTTTTGCTGCAGCTGCACGGTACTTAATGTAATTAGATTTAGACGAGCAGATGTTATAGTCCTTTTCAGCGCTCTTTCTCTCTTTACATACTAATGTGCATTCGGAATCCCACCAAGGTGGGGAAGATGATTTACCTTTAAAATAATTTTTATATGGAAATGATTTTTCTGCTGCTGATAGCAGACAGTCCCTAAACTTTGTATATAGAGAGAGATAATTGTCTGCGTTGACTGCAGGAAAATGTTGATGCTCCTGGTCCAAATTATGTTTGAACAAGGACCAATCAGCTTTGGACAGATTATATTTTATTCGAGGTCGGGGACGGTTACCTAAGGATGAATATTGTGTTGTGTCATTTGCCCCAAAAACGACAATTGGGAAATGATCACTTCCATGGGTAATAGGAAGGATTGTCCATATCATAAGTGATGCCAAGGATGGTGAGCACAGAGTCAGATCTACTGCACTTCTAACATTTTGAGATGGGTATACTCTGCGGGTAGGGGAACCGTCATTTAAAATACAAAGGGAGTATGTGTCACAGATATCTAAAAAGGATGAGGATAAGTGATCGCAATGGTAAGAACCCCAAGAAGTGTGATGAATGTTAAAATCACCCAAAATCACCATTGGGTGAGAAAGGGACAGAATGAGGTCATTCAATTCTGCCAAATTTGTATTGTTGGGGTGTGGAATATAAACTGACATATAGGTAATATTTTGTACTACTACCGCTACTGCGTTCACATGTTCACTGTGGGGTGGAAGAGGTTTATGGGAAAATGGAACAGAATTTGAAACGAGAAGGGCTGAACCGCCCTGTCCGTCGCTTCTATCATCCCGGAAACACACAAAGCCAGGGAACCGAACCCGCTCGCCCGGCTTGCGTCGCATTTCCTGAATGGCAAAAACGACAGGAGAATATTTGTTTAGAAGGTGGAGAATTTCATTTTCTTTATTTCTACTACTGCGACAATTCCATTGAAGGATTGGAGCCATTATTATTAATAACAGATATAAGGTTGAGAAGCTGAGACAGTTGGTCTTGAATGTTGTTCGGTAAGCCGACATCACTGAAACGGCTGAGAAAATTTATAATGGTGGAGATAAGAAGAGACATGAGGTTATCGTTAGGGACGGAGGAATCGTTGGAAAAGGCACAACCGTTGGGCAGCTGGGAGGTAGGAGTCTCCACAATGCTTCTATGGAGGTGTTGATTGTAACCTGCACTGAAGGCAGGAAGGGGGCGTGGTCTGGATTGGGTGATCGTTTTACGATACGATGTAGACTGGGACTGAGACAGTAATGGGGGGGGAGGACGACGGGGAGGAGGGGTTGCGTTGAGACCATTATCATTACGAGTAGTGTCAGCAAATGATCTTCTGACAGGAGAAAATCTAGCGGAGGCTTCAGAATAGGACACATTTTCCTGTGACATAACAATTTTAATTTGCCTCTGCCTAGACTGCTCAGGGCAGGAGGAGTCAGTCGCCCTATGCTGGCCAGAGCAGAATAAGCATGTAGGTGTATCCTTGTTACAGGTTATACCCTCATGCGGTTGGGCACAAATGGAGCAGCGGGCCTGGGACCTACATTGGGACTGTATATGTCCAAATCGGCAGCATTTGTTGCACTGAATAGTGGGAAGAACATAAGTCTCAACTGGAAGAGAGGTGTAAAAACAATATACATGTGAAGGTAGTTTTTGTCCAGTAAATGTTAAAACAATTGACTGAGTGGGGATCCACTCAGGGGTATTATTAGAAAATATTTTCCTACAGAGCCTGCGGGCTTTAACTATTTGCCCAAATCCTGGTGGGATCTCTAGGGAGTCAACTAGCTCTTCCAAGGTCCATTCCACTGGCACTTGCCTTATTACACCCATTCTAGTGATGCTATAGCTGGGAATAATTGCTTCATAACCAGCATTAGCAAGGGCCGCATGGTCAATAAAAACATTTGCGTCCGTAAATGTCTTAAATTCTACTGACATCCTGTTTCTACCTACCCGCTTAACGCCATCTTTAACTACATTTTTAATTTTATTTTGAAATAGGAAATGTCCTAGTTTGAGGGGTCGTAAGACAGCACCAGACGAGGGGTCTGAAGCTTTTTTGCCCACATGGACCAAGAATGGGGCACAATCCTCCTCAGAATACTTAATTTTATTGTTAGAAAAACGTGGGTTAATGAATGTTGTCTGAACTGACGCACCTTGCGATACGTTCGATTTTTTTGGAGGTTGTGAAGCAACCTGGTCTGTAAGTGCACGTTTTTTAGGTTTTTGCGAGCTCGGGAGATCGGGTGAGAACAGAGAGACCGATGGTATGATATCCTCGAATTCGATGTCGCCTCCACCGGGGTCTGGCGGATCCGCCATTATGACTATCTTATTTTAAACCGAACAAATAGTAAAAACTTACCGTGAACTATACAGTTAAACCCACCACCAACAAATAAACACTTAAAATAAGTCAACAGGGGATTCAAATATCCTTTAAACTTGAAATTTTCGTTGAGCAACAAAAACACATGTGACTAGCACACACACTGCATGAGAAAGTCTCAATTTATTTTTATCATAAAAAGAAGTCAAAGTAGCGTCATCTATTGACAAATTTTGACAAACATAAGAATTTCAAGGAATTTAAGATTTTCATTTCACTAACTATAGTTATGTATAAAAACACTAATTTCATTTTTATAGGTACTTTCCTAGTGAATGTGTAGATACAACTATTCTCTATTGTAGTTTATTAATTCAAATACCTAATTTCTTATTTTTTAATAAAAAAAAACCTAATTTATAAAACTTACCTTTCGCTTTGCATCTGTGTGGTGTATAAGACGTCTTGCTGAGAAGAATTCGTCGCTTGCAACATCGCCAGCGAATGCTGTAGAGATGCCATGTGTTCACTTGCCCCCTGGACAATAAACATTAACCGCGTTAATACAAAACACGGACTAAATTTAAACCTGGTCTAAAACAGATGCCGTTGCTTTTTTTATATGTTGTTAAGTGTTAACCTGATGTTAAGAGAAGGTGAAGTCCAGACGCGAAGATAGCTGATACAGCAGTTCTACCTGCCACACCAGCCATCCTCACCCTGCCGGCCTGCATGTTGCTTCTTCACGCCTCTTTTAAAGGATCCCAGGTTGTAAGAGGGAGGGAACACGTGAGCGGGCAGAGCATTCCATTTACGGATAGTGCGACAAAGAAATGAGTCACCAAATTTCTTTACTTTGGTTTGCTTAAAAGAAGACAAGGACAACATTAGGTTTAAACCAAGACCATCGGCTATAGTCCATGGAACGGTTGGTGGTGCAAGGGAAAGTTGAGGGCAAAAGGTCTCGCGGACGCTCTCCGACACGGTGGACAAACCTTATTAAATCGGCGACGCACTCTAGCGTAAATGATTGAACTCGCTTTGCAAAACATCGAGCTGTATGGCGACGCATCGCAATTGCATCAGAGACACAGGAATCGACAGAGATATGAACACGGCCACTCTGTCAAGAGTGCAAGACTAGGAAGAATATTTAGTCCATGTTTAAGGGGGTAAAGGTCTTGCTAGAAAAAAGTTAGATACAGTTTCAAACCTTGTATAGACAAAATTTGTTTGACATTTTTTCTTAAACCCGTGTTGATCGCTTGTCTTACTTTTAAGTGGTAATAAGGCATGTGTTTTATTCAAAACCAAAGAAGTTCCTGTGCTACACTATAATAAAAGCGTGAGTGTAGTTCAACGGAAGTTATTGTGTTGTCTCATTGAACCCTCCCAATTAACAAAAACACAATGAGTGCCCATGACCATGGGAATCTGGGAACCTTACTAACTAGATATATGCACAGAGAATATCTACAGAAAAGTTTTATTCTTTTTATTCTTTGTTTGACTTCACTTCATATTTAGTGCGAGCTTTTATTTATTCATTTATCCTAACGCTTTTGTGTCCCATTCTTTTCAAATACTATTACTTCTATGGAATAATGAAAGAAGCAACAGCGAACTATGAACCCGCTCAATTTTTTTATTTATACTGTGTGACACAGCAATCAATATGTGAGTGGACGTTGTATTGGTAGCGTATGTTTTTTTTTGTAAATGTTGCTACTTCTGTTAAATTCTGATGAGTTTATTGCGCCCATTCTTCTCGTCAGCTAAAAGATGTCCTGAATGGGTGGTAGGAAAAAATATTGATCATTATCATATTAACTTCGACAAGTATTTTAAACATATATTGCAGGTACAAGACCTTTTTCTTTAATTTATGCCTATAAAACTCACATTATACACTGACCTGTAACGCTACAGTATGCGAGTGCAATCTTTGCTCCAAGCACGTCATCTTGTATCCGTACAACTCCATCACGCTAGATGTCGCTATATCCGATATCTGAAAACAAATGCTGGAATGTAAAAAAACTGCAAACATTGATATTAGCAAATAAGTTGCTAGCATTCTATTCTATTCATTGAGCATTAAGAATTATAAATACATTTGAAAAATATTTTTATTTTATAATCGTAACAACAACAACAATAATTTTAGATAATTGACTAAAATAAACGCCAAAATAAAAATATATATATTATTATTCAATTAAGGTCCATCAATTCAAGAAAGTTACATGATATTGAACAAATTCGTTTATTTATAGAAAACAAAACATTCATATTTTATCTGATAAAAATCATTAACATAATGGACCGATAAACTATGAGGACAGACAAAAATAGATTATATATTAAAGGAAATAAGAACGAATGTTATTTCTAAATATAAAAATATATTGGAATTATGGGTTTTGTCGCATGGCATTGACAAATATTAAACAATTTTATTAATTGAAATCTTTTCTAATCAATTAATAATATCATCAGGACAACCTCGAGTTTCAAGTTTCCCATCCAATAAGGTAAAAAGAAAGATTGATATGAAATTAATTTTAAATAATCTATTTCTTTTTCTACATACTTATAAACTTTTACAACAGGATTTCCATTATTAATTTAAGAAGTAATTATCAAATTTAGATGATTGGTTCGAATTTTCAGCATTTAAAATATTCAAAAAACCACTCAGACAGCGACAGTACCCCACTCCCCTTACCGAAGTAAAGGGCGAACGATCATCGAAGGCTGATGACGAACCGTCACCGCCCGCCTCACGCTCAGGGCACCGCGCCACATCTCCTCATCGCGGTTGGTGGAACCTCACATGGAGTGAAGGTCTAGCGAAGAGCTTACTATAGAAATGATCCTATGAAGTAAGGTCTTGCCGTGAGCAAACCGAAGCGGGGATACCATTGCGCGCGCAACAAACTCAACACCGCCGTTCAGGGTTTCGCGTCAACACAGCGCGGCGACATCTAGCGAGAGCGTAGGGACCTAGTAACAGCGCCGGTTGGGCGTGCTTGCTAAATGGTACAGTAACGCCACCTATGCTATGCTATGAGTGGATTTTTTACGCAGGGGCATTTCATAACCTCATTTAGTAATTTTGTGTTCCTCTTGTGTTCATTTGGATAAATATAAATATTAGAATGTTTTAAATAGATAAAAATTTAAGAATAAGGTATCAACAAATGTATGTAGGTACTAAAAAACTAATTGATTCTTAAATTATTGCATCTTTGCTTGGAATTGACCAAATATATATGTTTTCTTTTATAGAGAATGCATTATTACATGAACCTTTAATAAATAAGGAATGTATCAATGATCCATGAAATTTGACCTCTATTATCAACGCGGTAGATTATATTTTAGGTAAAATACCATATTAAATCATGAAAATCCTTTTAATTTATTAAATCAAGAATACTGGGAAAATTATTAGATGAAGGTGACTGATTTATTGTAGGAGAAAATTTCAACGTACTGATTGTCGGTCCTAAACCTATGGAAATAAGCGTATAGTGGGTCAAGAAATAAATTGCCTGACAGTAAAAGGCTCTAAGGCTAAGGCAGAAGTCGAGAAGTAGTTTTAAGTGGGGTCTGGACAGAGATAAAACATATGGAGGTCCAGTTTTGTTACAATCAAGTATCATCACCCCCTCCCCCTCCCCCCGGTCGGCAACTGGTATTGTTTTGGATATAAAAATTCCATTGAAAATTACTTAAAAGCATTGACGTTGTTTTTAAAACTTCGTTTAATTAAAATAAAAAAATCCTTAACAATAATTCTTAATATTCAGCGTTTAAAGAATGCAACAGCTGCTATCCAAACGTGTACTGAAATTGCTACCTAAAAGTTGATATTTGCTATTTACGTTGGACATCGAAGGAACCCTCTATTATAATGACCCATATACAGAGTGGTCCAACTAGTGACGTCAACAATTTTTTTAGATTCCTCGCATCTGGGGGTATCCGAAAATACCCCATGTATGTTCCGCGATTTTTCTTAGTTTTCGAGTTTTAATTTTTTTGTGTATTTTTAATGATTTCTGCCAGCGAGGTTTCAAAAATATCTTTTTTCATAATAGGTATTTTGCAGTCTTTTTTTGTGACATAATTGTCTTGAATGTTGTTTTAATAAAAAAATAACTCAACTTCCTGCAATTACTTAAAGTTACTCAAAAAAGGCTTGAAAGTTGGATCTTTAGTTTTTAGTAGGATTTACTCAAACGTTCAATTTCAATACAAAAAGGAGTTTCCATAGCTTCTGGCTAAAATTAAAAACTCCGCATGCTTCTAAACTACCAAAAATCATAAAAAAAAAATTGTACTTAATCAGCCTATTTTTGTTGTAATTGGCTTTTGAAGGCGGATAGGCTAAAAATCATTGAAACACGATTAAAGCATTAGACATTATTTTATCTACTTTTTTTCATTGTTATGGTAAATTAAACCTAAAAATGTAATTTCAAATTAAATTTAATTGAAATTTCTGTAAAATAACTTTAGCATGTGTAATTTTACAATAATTTCGGTTTAACACTAAGATTTAACGCACTCCTGCGGCGCACCCCCCCCCCCCCCCCCGCCGCTCTGCCATCCCGCACTCACCCGCCCCGCGTGCAGCGCCTCGCTCAGCGCCGCCACCAGCCGGTCGACAGCGAGCTCCTGCACGGGCGCCAGTCGCGGCGCACACCAAGTCTCGGAGCCTTCGCCCCCGCCGTCAGCGGAGCGCGGAGACTCCGCAACGTCCTGCACGTGCTGGAGACTCTCACCGAACACCTGCACAAATAAGTCGGTATAGGTAGCGGCAAACTTCTTGAGCAAAACTTGCGCAGTAGAAGTTTTTGTGTGTAAAAATCAAGAAATTTGCCGAGGTGTACATCAAATGTAAACATTTTTAAACGAGACGGACAAGAACACAAGTGTTTTTACCGCATAAAAAGAACTAAAGCATAGAAGTAATGATGGTACTTCAGCGTACACTTCCGCATAGACTATACGTTTTACTCAACCAAAAAGTATTAGAGGCGTGTTGGCAAGGTGCATTTGACTTAGATAGCTTTTTGATCCGGTATCGTAAAAACCTACGCAGACGAGGGACTTTTGTCCGCCGTAATAGATCGCTTACAACTACATAGAGTAACGCACACAATGCTTTAAAACTACCGCGAAAAGAAAGTCCACCGAGCTACCGAGGACACCGAGAGACCGGGCAGAAGTAAAGTGCGCGAGAGTCCACGACAAAAATAGAACATAATATGTGACAAGAGGCGGGAACGCACACAGTGGACTTTGGTTCGCAGTGCGCGCTCGAGAGTGATACGTATGCATAATGGCGCATGAAAACGATTGTAAAATGTTAATAAACGAAGTGGAAAAAGAAACACCTTTATATGTTTCCTAAAAAAACATTTAAAAATCAAAAAATCCGACTGCTTAAATATTACTTTAAGTAAAAACTGAAAAGAAATAAAAAAAAATGATGTGGTGTCGTGGGACACCAGGTAGGAACGAAATTCCTTCGGCTAATGTAGAATCGACACAAATTGCAAACTCGCTTGTGTATGCGACTGTCGCGCCTGCGCACGTCTCATTTAACGGTTTTATTCCACGCACTTTTTTCCACGGATTTTTTCTTACGGTTTTACTATCACATTTTTTTCAGTTCAGTCGCGCAGCAAAATCCCTATCCCCTCCAAGCCTGCCGTAAGGAACTTCGTCGCGCCTGCGCACGTCTCATTTAACGGTTTTATTCCACACACTTTTTCCCACGGATTTTTTCTTACGGTTTTACTATCACATTTTCACATTTTTTTCAGTTCGGTCAGCTAGTGTTCGTAAAGATTGCTAGGCAGGACTGGCCCACAGATTATAATAAACTACAATGTCACAATAATCCAGTAATGCAGCCCCGTCGCTCTGCCACCCCCTGGACTTAAGCACAGTTTAGTCCAGGGGGACAATAACCCAGTGTTGGTATAATGCCACAATAATTTGGGGTTGCACCCCCGTCGCTCTGTCACCCCCTGTTAAGTACTGACCTTGTTATCATAATCATGTCTCACAGGCGATACTGGTCCACAGCTTGATATAACTTCACAAATATCACAATATTTCAGTGATGCACCCTCGTCGCTCTACCACCCCCTATAACTTCACACATATTCAGTGTTGGTGTAATATCACAATATTTCAGTGATGCACCCTCGTCGCTCTACCACCCCCTATAACTTCACACATATTCAGTGTTGGTGTAATATAACAATATTTCAGTGATGCACCCTCGTCGCTCTACCACCCCCTATAACTTCACACATATTCAGTGTTGGTGTAATATCACAATATTTCAGTGATGCACCCTCGTCGCTCTACCATCCCCTATAACTTCACACATATTCAGTGTTGGTGTAATATCACAATATTTCAGTGATGCACCCTCGTCGCTCTACCACCCCCTATAACTTCACACATATTCAGTGTTGGTGTAATATAACAATATTTCAGTGATGCACCCTCGTCGCTCTACCACCCCCTATAACTTCACACATATTCAGTGTTGGTGTAATATCACAATATTTCAGTGATGCACCCTCGTCGCTCTACCATCCCCTATAACTTCACACATATTCAGTGTTGGTGTAATATCACAATATTTCAGTGATGCACCCTCGTCGCTCTACCACCCCCTATAACTTCACACATATTCAGTGTTGGTGTAATATCACAATATTTCAGTGATGCACCTTCGTCGCTCTACCACCCCCTATGCGCACGTCTCATTTAACGGTTTTATTCCACGCATTTTTTCTTACGGTTTTACTATCACATTTTTTTCAGTTCGGTCGCGCAGCAAAATCCCTATCCCCTCCAAGCCTGCCATAAGGAACTTTCGTTCCAACAAGTCCAGTAGTCTATAATTCTGTTAAGTAAGGAACAAAGCTAACTCAATCACTCAATAGCTATATAAATTATTATCCATATGTTATTATTATGTATGAGTTATATTATTGTTAAGTTTCATTAAAATCCCTTCGGTATTTTTTGGGTGAAAGAGTAACAAAGATCCATACAAACGTAAGATTAAAATTAAAAGTGCAAGTGGTTTTAATACAACTTTAAATCGATATAGATCCTAAACAGTCATATAAAATGAAAAATGGTGTAAGGAACCTAAACACGATTTTCGATTATCTAGACAATGATACCCCACTCGACAGGAGCCTAATTGTCCCCATATTGAATTTCGATTACTATCATATCTTTAGTAGCATTAACATGATTAAGAGGAATCGATTGACGTATGAATCATAAAAATCGCTTCCCGCGTTTGGTCTCTAGTGGGACAAAAGGCCTCCGCGGACAAAAATCCATCGGCTGCGCAGGTCATAAAAGTAAATAAGGCCAATCCACAAGGAGTACAAAGTACTCGTACTCGGCCGAATAACTCGGTTAAAATTAAGTGTTAACTCGGTTTGAATGAAGTAATACATTTTGGGAAATATAATGAACACAAGAGTGTTTATTGAAGAACAACGAGTATTTTTTAAATTTTAAAACAGTTTCAGTTCTAAGACAACAAAGCTTCTTTTATATGTCGATCCCCAGGTTATCTAAAGGGTTGGTAGCTCCCCGCGGACCTATCTTCGCGCCCTAAACAAGATTGAATTGGACCGAGTTATTCGGCCGAGTACTCCGTTTAAAATTTATTACACCGATTAAAACTCGGTACTCGGTTAGCGTCAGCTCACACCGAAACGCGACGCGACGGTGCACAGTGCTACTTAAAACATATCTTTATTTACTACGCGAAAAGATACACATTTCATGTGATTGTCGTCGCGTTTCGGTGTGAGCTGACGCTTACTCGGCATATCTATACTCGGCCCATCACTACAAAAAATAGCTACCCTTTCCGGTCCAGTTAAATTATCTGTACGTCTTACCTGATTCATCTGATCTGAGGGGAAGTAATGGTGCTTGATGAGTTGCAATATCTGTCGTCGCCTGGTGCCGTTGCCACTAGTCAAACCGGCACAGAGATATTTCCGAACCTGCATTAATGAACACAAAATATTATAAGTTACCAAGAGGGCTAAATGACCATTAAGTTGAGATGCAAACGATAGCATTATAATATAATGCCATGGAGGCATTGAAAGAATAAATAGTAACCTGTGTCTCAACAGGGTATTGCACAAGTTTTAGAAAACGATCTCACGTTATGAAGTCGATAAAAATGTTTGTGGATATTTTTAATTCCATTGTGTAATTAAATAAGAAAACTAAATTAAAAAATCAATTTTCAAGTTACTGCGAAAACGATTCTCTGGACATTATGGCGTCTCACTACTAATACGTGTCCAATACTTTTTGATAATCTACCTGATAAACGAAGAAAAAAAAATAGTCATCATCCCTATTCGCGTTACGTCCGTTGTGACGCTGTTTAAATTTGCACACAAAACTTCTTGACATTTACCGTGTATCGAGATCGAATTCAACTATTCGAATACGGCACTGGTTCGTGCTAAGGGTACTGGTGTCATTTGTACAGTTTTAACCGAACACTTTGTCATTGCGTCACGTTTAGAGTTACCATCCGTCCGGATTAGTCCGGTTTTTTTAAATTACAATGGATATGAATAATAAAAGTACATATTGATTAAAATACCATACCATTGTAACGTAGTGAGTAATGGTACCATTTTGTGACTAAAATAAGTCCGGACTTTTTCCAAAACGTCAGGATTTTTATCAGGACTCTTGAAATTCCTAAATGGTAACCCTAGTCGCGTTGTAATCAAAGCGCGATCGAAACACGACTATTTGAAAATCGTTAAAAATTTCTTACCTGGTGGTGAGCTAATATTCTGATTAGAGCACCCTCCCATTTGTTGTGTAAAGGCGCCAGAGACAACGCTGTGCGACAACTGACCACCACGGCTTGCTGCGACGCTTCCAAGCCCACGGGGCCGTTCTACAATGAAATGAAATGAAAATAAACTTTATTCAAGTTGACTTATAAGAGCTCTTTTGAATTTCTTAGTTGTACGGATACAAGATGACGTGTTTGGAGCAAAGATTGCACTCGCATACTGTTGCGTTACAGGTCAGTGTATAATGTGAGTTTTATAGACATAAATTCAAAAAACAGGTCTTGTACTTGCAATAATATATAAAATACTGGTCGAAGTAAACATGATAATGATCATTTTGATAGGTACATTTTGTTCATTTATTCCTTAAGTTTTCACGCACGCCTATCTTTTAATTAGACAATTGAAATTAAATTATAATTTATTCAAATTGACTTATTGAAAGCTGCTTTGAATCGTCCAATATTTTTTCCTACACATTTGGTAAAGAAAATTTAGTACACTTGGTTTTATTAGCATTTTAGCTTTAGATTATTTATATAAAACCATTGCAAAACTTGCGAGAGAGCATTATTCACATCCTCATAGTTATTCTTACGCCTGTCAACGTTAAATATTAAAGAAGTGGCATCAGCAAATAATACAATCTCACGGATTTCCACAAAAAATGTCATACCATTTAAATATACTAAAAATAGGATCCGACCCAAAATCGAACCCGGGGGAACGCCCATTTTCACATGAGATCTCAAGATCTCTGGCGATGAATTCTGGGTAATCATTTTATGGGCTGTGCCTTTGACTCAGTAATAATTAGACAGACAAATAAACTAGCGCAGTAGACATTTTGGTATGTAAAATTGCTACTGCGCAAGCTTCCTTATGGTCCTTGCTCAAGAACTTTTCCAGGATGTATGTATTAGACAACTAGCGGCTGCCTGCGACTTCGAACGCGTCAACTTTAGTTTTCTGGAAAACCCCACAGGAACCTGGCATTTTTCCGTGATAGAAAATGAAAAGTATCTTATTCTATAAACTATATGCGTACCAAATTTTATCCTAATCCATTCAGTAGTTTTTGCGTGATTGAGTAACAAACATACAAACTTTCTCATTTATGATATAAGTAGGATAGCACAATAGGATATTGAACAATATGAGACATTCACCTGAGACGTGTACTGCAGTACGCTGTGCAAAGTGTCCTCGAATGTGTCCGGAGTGACTTGTTGCAATACTCGCTCTTGTGTCTCACTGGACTCGCACAATGCACCCACTACTTGTAACTGGAACGAAGAGATTTACATTCGCTCATTTATTTCAGACCAATCCATACAGAATCGTAGCCCTTGCTATCCGTCCGTGTAGACTGCAAAATACATAGGAACTCAGACGAGAACTTCAACATACTAATATTCATAAAGGGGGATATCCACATTGTGCCAGATGGTGAAATTACACACTTTTATTTTTTATATATTAAAGTATTATATAAAACTAATTTTAAACCTGTTGAAACAAACAACCTTGTTTCAACAGGTTTAAAATTAGTTTTTTTAATTAGTTTTAATTAGTTTATGAATATTAGTATATTGAAGTTCTCGTCTGAGAGTGAGGCTATCATCATAAATACTGGACGAATGAGCAATTTTTCTTTTTTTAAGCTTACCCCGGTTAGATCCTGCCTTAGCAGTCTCTTCAAAAAGCAAGTATTGAGACTGATGCACTCTTCTTAAATGCTGTTTCACATTGTTTAGGCTCGACATATGGGCTTTTATTTTTGTTTCTTTTGGTAAGCATTTGACACACTCAAAAAGTATCTGCTCTCCCGATCTAGATACAAACCTAATATTGCTACATAAATGTGGCCACGGATTTTCGTCCGTAGAGGAACTGGACGAATCCATGATACTTATGGTTTTAATTTACATTTTAATTCATTTACATTTTTAAATCCAAAAAGTTTTACGCCGACAATTCATGCCTACATAGTTTCAGCACGCGTCGGCGCCGCTCTGCACTTTTCGCTTTTTGTGGGCCCGCCCGAAACTACTTGTCAGAGCGTATTTTTCGCGACACGGCACGGTGGCTGCGGTATATTTTTGGTAAAGGATTAAGGTACTGGATTAACGATTAACGGACTTAGGATAATTTAACGGAAGTTAACGAATCCGTTAACTTAAAAGTTAATCCGTTAATAGAAATGTTAACTTCGTTAATTAACGATTAACGAGTTAATGCCCAGCTATGTATATATTGTACAACTCATTGTAACCGCAATCTAAAGCCAAGTAGTGTTGATGTTATAGAATCTGAATTATTATGCTATGAACAATATCGATACCATTAAACGATGCACGATGGCTGCATCGACAGTCTTTCAACACTATTATAAACAAAATCTTCCGTAAAGTTCAGTCTAGGCTGTTACAAGCACTTGTGAATGTCGAAAAGCTACGCCATCGGTTCGCAAATCTACGGCGTCTCCCGCCGCTAGTAATGAGAAGAACCGGCAAGAAACTCAGCAAGGGCTGTATTTTTCTACCTGTATTATATACAGGGTCGTCAAATTGAAAAATGACTTCAATATGAGGTAACTCATGAAGTCGCTTTCCATTACATTTGCAAATAATATAAAAATTATGACTATAAAATAAAAAATATATAAACAACAAAGTTTAGGATGCCGTGTCCTACTCTTTAGGCATAAAAAAATGAACGATCATCACTTACCCACTGCAGTCCAGCTTTGCCAGGTTCCAATGCAGGCGGCACCAGGAGAGCTGGCAATCCGTCGTTTACTATGCTCAAAAGATCTTGAGGAAGGCGACCTTCATCTGGAATCAATAGTGAAAGAATTACTGTATACCTCTGTTTAAACACATTTTGGGCACGGCACATACTCGAACTCAAATTAATTTATTCAGTTTAGGCTGCTACAAGTACTCACGACTGCTCTAAAAGCTACGCCATCGGTTCGTAAATCTACGCCGGGGGACCTACAAGGTCCCCCGGCGTGAAGAACCGGCAAGAAACTCAGCAAGGGCTGTATTTTTCTCCCTGTATTATTGTTTGCAGAGTCGTCAGGTTGAAAATGACTTCAGGATGATCCATGACCTTACATTACATAATATGAAGAAAGGAGTGAAGAAGCTAATTTTTTTATATATATTTATAGCAATAGAATAAAACAATCGATAGACACTATATAGCGAGGAGATTGATAGAGCAATGGTGAGCGTGATCATTAAAGCGAGTTAGCGTATTCTGTTTTCTTCCGGTCCCAATTTAGTAGAGAAGAATAAAAATAATGACGAAATGTATAAAAAAATACTACATAAAAATGTAATGAGCTGTTAATGTGTTTATAACATTTACGAACTCTGTACATGGTCCTTCGAACCGGATTTAACCAGTAAGATATGATAAAATCAAATAATGCTTAAAAATAATGCGAAGAGGATAGGGACGAAGACATTTTTTTTATCCATCTGGTAGATTATCAAGAAGTATTGGACACGATTTTTTTCTTTATTTCCACAGTCAAAACATTACAGAGACAATTATATTGATTTGAAGTGTCGCATGACGTCACGTCTTGGTAAAAATTTTACTTAGTAGTGACGTCACGAGACCCCACTCCCAAACTTTGAAACGCTTTATCTTTTTCATTTATTTGGTTGATTGGCAAAGAAATACTAATTGTCTATTATTTTTTGATAATCTAACTGATGGACTATAAAGAATTTCATGTTATTCACACCATCATCATCCCTATTAAGCATGCTGTAAACAGTATGAAAGTTAAGTTTTTAGATTTTATCTCACCTCTGTATTGAACAACGATGGCCGCGAATAGATCCAACGCTTCCGGTAAGCAAACTCGACTGGCCTTCATACATATGCAAACCAAATGACCGTGGTGATACCTCAGAGAATAAAGATCTGTAAATAAAAGCGATACATCAAATACACCTACTAGTTGACCATTTAAAATATACCCCCTAGTATTTTTCTATGGTAACATATTAGCCCACAGCACACCACCTGATGCTAAGTGTAAGTGGAGTCCAGTCGCGAAGATAGATGATGCGGCAGGTGTGCTACTCCAGCTACCCTCACCTTGCCGGGTTGAACCCAATCCCCTACCCCGAGGAGTCCTGGAACCCTATTCACCAGCAGAAACAACACCACCAAAAGGTAGTACGGTCGCCGAGCAGAAAGAATTTCGTACAATGACCCCACGCTACCTATCCTTATATAATAATAATAATATTTATTGCCTTTTTCATGTAGGTGTACAGAGGTGTTACCAAGTGTTCATTGAGATCCTTACACGAACCCGGTTAGGGCATAGCAATGTGCTTCAAAGAGCTTGTTTAATTTTTTTATAAACAAATATAAATTTAAATCACATCAAAAAATATAAATGTTACTTACCAATAAAATTAATAAAATTCTATTCCATAAAAATTGCATTAAACAAATTAAACATAATATTATGAAATAAATTATATCACATTAAATTACTAACAGTCATCATTTTAATACCTTGTCATTAAAATAATCGCTCGCGAACAATTATGTTGCCGTCACGCTTGCACACAGTACTACACACGGTACGTGTGCGAGCGAGACAGCAGCATAAGTGCTCGCGAGCGATAAGGATGGGTAGCGTGTGTTCATTGTACGAAATTCTTTCTGCTCGGCGACCGTACTTTAGTGTTATTTTACAGTGGCCTTCTGTATGATGGAGGTTGCTTCCCTAGATGGGCGCTCCAATTCGAGCGAAAATCCGCTGTGTTCAACCTCTCCACTAAATCGCGATACGATCAAGCGATTTATCAAAATTGACTATCAAAGTTCATACTACAATGGTGTTTCACAGTTAAATGCCTATAAAAGACTAACATATCATATGGTGAACAAAATGGTATAATTACATAAAATTAAATTTTACAGGAGCTGTATAAAACTGAATGACATAATAAAATATACATATTAAAAATATTGACCATAAAAATTATAATATTGTAGGTAACTATTTACCCAAATTCACCAGAACTGTGAGAAATTTCAACGAGTTTCGGAGACAGTCTATCATTTGTTCAGGCTCTCCAGCATCTAGTGGATTTATCTTGCAAAGGTTGTCAATGTCCTGAAAAGTATGTATTATGATATAAATAATGCTGACAATTCATAGCACAGCTAAAGTAGCTTATTTAAATTACCAAAAGGACTATTTTCATTGACTCACAACTTTTTTTATTCATTGAACATTAATAAAATTTTCAATCTATCATTTAGTACTTTTTGGTGCTTTTAATGGAATGACTACAACCAGTCACAATAAAAAATACTTAGTATCTTTTAAAAAAGCTTTTTTCTTACATTATAGGTACATATTTAGTTCTTATTGCAAGAAAAATAAAACAAACAATTTATTCAATACATGTTTAACTCACATCCATAGCCTCCTTTAGTGCTTGTGAAAAATGTGGGTATGTCAAAACAAAACCACGCAAATTGTTGTCGGTGCACAAATCATTGATGAAAGTATACGCATGTAACAGCTGAGTGGCATCTTGATCACTGGAATTAAACAAAAATATATAATTATATCATAAGTACCATATTAAACATCATAATTCTTTTTCTAATTCTACTGTAATTGTTCTCAGTATTTTAGTAGAGTATAAATTTTTGCTGAATAAAAAAAATATAAATAAAGAATTCTAATTTAGACTTATATCCTTATAACAGTGTTTCTTCTTTCAAAGAATGAAATTACTCAAAATCATTTAGACCTAGACTTAAACAAGCATTTTGTGCTGTAGAAAATGAATAATGTATTTAAATCATAGACACATCCACACTAAATAAATACTACAATAATAGGATAATACATTATACAAATCCGCACCCCCGCTAAAATCTGTCTCTCAGATCAGTGGGCACACATGAACAATAAATTAATAATAATCATCTGTTTGCCCACATAAAATATATCGCAAAATGGTGATGATGAAAAAAATAATATACAAAATTGGTCAGCTTACACAATAGCCTTATTGAAGGTGCGCATAGTACAGTTAAGGTAGCTGTGTACGTCTGGTTGTCTCGTAGCCGCCGCACCGCGTGTCGCTCCTGACAAGCAGACGAGAAGTCGACACACCTCTACACCTCCATAGCCACCATCCTGATGTAAATAACAATGGGGTATGTATTTTTTTACTTGGATATCACAAACTTCATAAGACTTCATCTTACTGAATTTAAATTAATATCAAGAACTGAACAACTGGCAGAACTAGGGCCTATTGTGAAAGTCCTTTGTTTTACAGGACAAAGTGGTGGTGCAATATATTTATTCTTCTTATTGATGTGTTGCTTGACAAAGACAAATATATTATTATTGCACTTTTGGCATAAAAACAATATCCACTCTATAGAACCTGGAAGGATTAAATTAATCTTACGTAATAGACGTAAACAGTGCAGCAAGAAAACTGAAGAAACAAAGTAGCCCTACATATAATTCAGAATTGACTTATGTAACTTCAAAATTTTATCATAAAGGTACTATAATACATAGATAAGTTTTTAATCATAAACTTTAATGAATAAATTGGATTTTCTTTGAACAAATGATGTTTTACTGAGTGAGCTGCCTTTTAATCTCTCATTTAATCTAAATTTAAGATAAAACAATATAAGAGAAACATGTATATTACAATACTCTATTCAACTTTCTCTGATAAATCAAAAAAAAACAAAATAAACCAAAAAAGTTTCTAAAACTTTTTCATCAATAATAAAGATGGCCCAAGTAACCAGGCTGCTAACAAAATTTTACATTTCTACATAAATTATTTGCTTCATCACCACTCTTCAATTTAGTAGTATTTCCGTGTGTTCAAAATTGGGGAATAGCTATAGTTTTACATATTTTTAATGTCACTTTGTGCATATAAAATTCAACCTTTTTATTGTGTTTGACTTTTGTCTCAGGAAAAGTTGAATAAAGTAAGCTCTCACAGTTAGTAATGACTGAAAGATTTACCTTTAAATTAATAAGGTGTACAACAAAATCCTTAGTATCCACAGTCCTCATTAAAGCATAAATGGCTGGTAAATTTCCATAGCATATATTCACAAGGACTGTGAGTGATTTATGGCCTATGGTCCTTTGTTGAGGATCTGTCATCGGCTGAGTTATCCACTCCGTAAGTTGCTTCATCAGACTTGATAAATAAGACTCTTGCCAGCTTATTTTAATTCCATAGGAAATGTCCTATAAAGTTTAAATTAAATTTGAGTAAGTATGTTGAGTGATTAGTTTGTATGTTTACAACGTAAAATGCAACTGACCTGCATTACTGAGAGAAGCTTAACTTTTTTGTCATTTGAAATAGAATCAGACAGAAGTCTTGATAAAATGGGCATAAACCTGAAAGAAGATTGTTTAAGATTTAGATTAGGGTAAACTAAGTAGGTGCCAATAAGTGTGCATGCTTTCAATACCTATGCCTAATGGCCATAGACTACAAAGCAATTTGTACTCAAATTATGTACCAAAACTGTGATCACTTACTTGTACGTATGCGTAAGAGCATGTCGTGCATTTGGTTCTATCGAAGCTCGAGACAAAACCGCAACACCAGCCCAATGTGGTCCTCTTCCATCGCACATTACTCTCCATAGCGAACTAAAGAACGCACACACTTCAGATCGCCCAGGAGAGAAGATGGAGAGATCACAAGACGATGCTATTAACTAAAACATCACAAAAACGCCTTAAATGTCGTTATTATCTTTAAAGACTGTGTAGTCAATAAGATAGAATTTAATGTGAAATACTTACACCCAAGTACCGGTTCATTAGATTGACAGCATTTTCACTATGAGTAGCTTCGAACTCTCGAGCTGCCGTCACAAACAGTTTTAAATTTATGAACTTTCCTCCGTCTAGAGTATTACTCGGAGAATCCACACCGTCTACCTCCATTCTCCAAGAAGACGCGTAAATAATGAATTATTTATGTATGTAGATAATCAGTTCTAAAAAGAGTTACTTTGTTTTTAACGTAACACTTATTTGGATCGATTTAACTTGAACTATTTACTAAAATAGTCGATAAGATATAAAAAGTAGAGATTGGGGTTTTGATTTCAACTGTTTCTGTATGATTTGACAGCCACTGTTGTTGTTTACTATTTTCTTTTCTCTGATTGGTTGGTTGATCCATTTGTCTATGGTAAAAGCATGGTGTCAATTTTTTTTTTGGTTAAGTTCTCCCTTTTCAGGTAAGGCAAGGGGAACAATGCCCATACAGCCTAGTCTTAAGTTAAATTATTGTTTTTCTTTTTACATTAGAATATCGGTGTGACGCATTCTAATGTTTCTTGAAGTGTTTGGCATGAAATGTATCGAGCTGGCCTTTTCGATAAGCTTCTGTGAGGTAGTCAATACTACAATAAAATTCTCACGTCCACTTGACCGGAATAGCGTATACTTTGATGATTCTACTAATTCTTCAGTTACGCAGACAATTGTAACACAAAATCCCACCAATTTTATTTTACAATATCCACTATGAATGAATTTAAGAATAATTAAAATAAGACGCCAACCACACTCGATGAAATCCCGCCATAAACTCCGTGTCAATTTTAATTTATTCTTTTTGTTTTGTTCTTCCCTATTGGGTAAGGCAAAGGCAAAGACATAGTCTTATATTTGTATTAACTTCTTTTTTTTACATTACAACGTGGATGTGACGCATTCTAATGTTTTAATCATAACATACAAACACGAAATGTGATCCAAGGAAAAGTTAATAAACCTTTATTTAACTGTCTGATTTTTATGCTGCAGATTCTGACGATAATGCTATATCATTCCGGGAATATCAAATAGTACTCCAGTAAATTTAACAAAAGGAAATAGTAATAAGGACTACAAATTTAAGTTAAAAATATTTTTCTAGATGTAATCAAACTTTTATTAAAGCAACATATAAGTTTATTATGTGTCTCAAGTGAATAATAATTTGAATAATTATTCTCTGATTAAAAGATAAAAACTTCATAGCGGCACTTCACTTAGCTATACGTGTTTACTATAAATTTCTAAACTTGACGTGAATATTCTCTTTTCGTTTTGAAAGGACAGGCATGACAAGGACAGACTGTTGTCAAGGTTACAAATAGTATACACAAATAGACATTAGCAGTGTTGCCAACTTGGTGGTTTTTCCACCAGAACTGGGGCTTTTACGCGGCTTCTAGTGGTATATTTTCATTATCTAGCGGGTATATTTTTTTTAGCGTTTTTTAGTGGTTTTTTAACATGAAATCTAGCAACATATTTTTAAGGGGGAAATCCTCTAACTTTCCGAAATTTCATAATTTTTTATGGTTATTCTTATGGTTACAGAAGAATTCCTACACGCGTTTGTCTGTTAAGGGCTTCCTTCAATCGTTCATTCTGTTTCAGGTTATTAGGTTCGCGTTCATTGTGTTGTTAAAAAGTGTAAAACTTTGATTTGATAGAAACGTTTGTAACAGTGTATGAACTCCTGAAGCTGTATGTTTAGAGTATTCAATTATATGTTAATATGGAAATTCTATTCAAGAAAAATAATTACATACAAAAGTATAGAAAAGAATGGGAATCACTCGACGAAGTCCAAACCTGGCTTAAACCTTCAGCACGTGTTAATGCGAAGGCGTTTTGTTCATTTTGTAAAGCAGAATTATTAGCAAGAATAGTAAATTTGAGAAAAATGCTGAAACAAAAAAGTACAAACAAAAAAAAAATGGTTGCCTGTAAAGTCGGTTTTACGGGCGAAGATTTTACGTGACAACGTCTTTTTCTCGGTAGAATATTTATTGATATGAATATAATTAAATTGCACAATAGGAACAAGGAATTGAATGAAAATAAGAATTGCACAAATTTTAACTATAGAAATATATTTTGTTTACTAAAACATTGTACATGTAAACTTAAACTTAACACGAGAGACTCATCGTAACGTTACCGAGCGTTACACTTTTTCATAAGTGACTCCCAGCCGCAACCTAATTTAAGACGTTGTCACGTCAAAATGCAAATTCTATCCGGCAACAAAAGACACCATATAAAAAACACAAAATACTCTTTCAAAAATCAACTACAACCACAACCAAACATCTTCAGCTTCGACATCGGCTTCATTGCCAGAAGCGTCGGCGTCTGTGAACGACGATGAATTTATAGAAGATGTAACAATGTAACATTTAACAATATTGATTTTTAAATTTCACATTTTGTTTAAGATTTATTTCTTGATTATAAATAATGAATGTAAATTAATATTTACCTAGTTTTATTTCATTCTCTAGTACTACTAAGGTAACGCTCGGAAAAGTTTTAAGTTAGTAAAAACAATAATGGTATCAATTCTAGCGTGATTCTCTAAACTTAAAACTAAATTTAACATCAGCCTCTCCTTTTCATTCTGTATAGAGAATGACAAAGATATACTGCTGTCAAATTTAAGTTTAAGTTTAGAGAATCACGCTAGAATCGACACCATTGCCATTTTTTTTTAAATAACAAAATTTTACTAATTTAGAACGACTGCGGGATACAGTTATTTCTGTAGCATCTCATACATATTCACTGGTTTTTTATTTAAATTAGGTTTTTTTGTTATCAGAGATGTAATTGTAATTTAGCGGATTTTGGTGTATTTTATTAAATCCAAATTTTTGAAATCTGGCGATATTTTACCTTTGACTTGGCGCCTTACAAAAATCAAAGGTGGCAACACTGGACATTAGACACGTAATAGGGAAGTCGAAAGTTGAAAAAAATATCGATATATTGATACATCGATATTTTAAAAAATTTTCGGGTTCGATATATCGCGAAAAAAACATCGATATATCGGACCAATTTTCCCAAAAATATATTTAGGTCAGCCTAGCACAGTAATAATAGTTCAATACAAATTATAATTAAAGAAAGAATTATCAAAGTACCAAATTGCCGCTACACTACATGGCAGTACAGTATCTCACGAAATATGACACGCGGAATAATAATGGACCGAAATTTTTTTAAAAATAGACCCTATTTCCGAATGATGAAAATGATTGCAGGGCCTCTCACCTGCCATCTTTCGTAAACAAGACTAGACAGTTACACACTTCCACAGAATATAATGGAAATCAGCACAACCAATTCACCAGCGAAACAGATTTACAAATAATAGACAATACTAAATACAGCACAGATCATAGATATGTTGAATATCATTAATCTGAGATCCAGTTACGATTTTTCCAGATACAAATTTAGTTAAATCGTGATATGCCGCTAATAATTAAAAAAATATCGTTTTTGATACGAATTTCGATATTGGTTATTTTGTATCGATGTATCGATATATCGCATCAAAATATATCGGCAAAAAATATCGATATATCGAACAAAAAATATCGATATATTTTCAACAAGCCTAACACGTAAAGTGCCGGCAGTAAAACAAAGCGAACGTAGCGACGATAAAAAGAGAACAAAAACAAAATATTTAAACTGTGTTACTAGAAAAGTTCAAATTTAATTTGTATACAAACAAACCGACAAAATGGGAGTCGGTATAGAAATACTTTCACCTGGAAATGGTAAGTTTTGCATTTCAAACTTTTATAACATAACCTACAAATCATTGAAATCTTGTTTTAACTCTTTTTCAGGTTTTACTTATCCTAAACCGGGCCAAACCGTAGTAGTTCATTACACAGGCACACTACAAAACGGAATGAAATTTGACTCTTCTAGAGATAGAGGACAACCTTTTAAGTTTACACTTGGAAAAGGTGATGTTATCAAAGGTTGGGATGAAGGATTAGCTAAGGTGAGATTTGCATTCGTTAAACCACAGAATATTAATGATTTTTTTGTGTGGTACATCATGAGTAATCGTGAAAGTTAAAAACTCACAAATATAGACTGGTGATGATGATATTATTATTACTCATAGTAAATGTTGTTGCAGATGTCTGTGGGTGAAAGGGCACGACTGACATGTTCACCAGACTATGCCTATGGTTCACGGGGCCACCCTGGGGTGATCCCACCCAATGCTACTTTGATCTTTGACGTTGAATTACTGCGTGTTGAATGATTTCCTAAACCGTCTTGCCATATTTTGTACATTTCTAGTTAATAATTATTGTATGCTCTATTGCAGTATATAAATTATTATTTTGTTATATGTTACAGTATTCTATTATGTTACTTAATCAATTATGATAATTTTGAATTGAACAGGCACATTTTGGTCATGAGTCTGATTAGCATTTTATATATATTCTAATCCTCCCTATCTTAACAATTACATAATTGTATTGTCATTGACGAACTTTGTATGGAAGGAGCCAGGTTGTTCTTACATATGATAAGGGCACTGATTAGTTTTCATAGAAACTGTTAATGGTAGGATACGTTTCAGAGCTGACAAAGTTTGAGCTTGGACCTCAAAACCTATGTCAGCACAAAAGGATATTTTTTTAAGTAGGTACTAGTGGAGCAATGTTTGTACTTATGTTGACATTATGTTAATGAAATGCATAATTATTATTCATAGAATCTCTGTGGACTGATTAAATGTAATAAAATAGTCCAAAAATAATTATTTTTAATAATAATCTAAATGGTGTGTTATGTCAGCAATGTTTGCTTTGCATACAATATTTTTAATGTACCTTTTAAATTTCAGTATTCTTTTTTGTGATACTGAAAGCATTTTGTTCTAACAATCACTACATGTGCTGTGGAATTGAAATTAATATTCTAACCATGTGGCAAGAAGAAATGTTATAAATAAATGAGCTTTTACAAAATTGTGTGCTTTATTCTCTTTTTAACATGTTTATTAGTATTTTTCTTATCATTAACACCAGTCTTTACAATGAAAAACCTTATTAACCTGATATCCTTTAAAATCCCTTAAAAATGCTAACAATGCACAACTGTACCTTAGCACAAACCAATATTGAATTTGAATAGTTTGTGAGTGCGTAATGTCATTGTCAAATGTGTACTGATTTTTAGTTCTCGTTACGTACTTTGTGGTGCTGCTATTCAAGTTTCCATACAAAATTTGACATTGACATTTCGCACTTACAAATTCGAATTTGATAATGGTTTGTACTATTGTGTATATTCTGGTATTGCAAAGTATAACAGACTTTAATTAAATATATTTTAACATCCCAATGAGAACTAAATACATAGTAATTAATTAAAGCAATTTTCTAGACCCTGTTTTATCCTAATTTATAGCTAAATTATAAAGTTCAACTGTATAAAATTATATTTCTATAGATTGCCAGGCTTATAATTCATCAATGGAACTACTGTATTTTTAATAAAAGGTGATCTACATAATGCACACGTTTCTAAAGATCCATAGCTACATTGCAAACAAAATATATGGCCACATGGAAGCACACACGGTTGCACCATTTCTTCTAAACAAGCCACACATGACTTACTACTGTCCACTTCACTTGGCATATCATTAACTTGTTCCATGTGTTTCTTAGCCTGATATAAACTTTGCCCGCATGATACAAAAGCATGAAGTAAGGTAACTATTCCCAAAAGTCTTAAATGAGCATAGTGCGCAGCAGCCGCAGGTCTCACATGCACATAATCTATTCCTGTCACTGTATTACCAATTTGCAAAGGCCCACCGTTTATGTAGCTCATAGCTCTGTGTATACTCTCAATCTGAGGTATCATAGAGTTCAAAGCTCTAAGTACAATTATAAATGCATTTTGGGCTTTTGGTTTTAGATATGTATTGCTTTCAATGCTCTTTTCGCACTGACGTAGAATTCTAGAAGTCAAAGTTTCACCAAAAGTAGATAGGAGCATGCTACACAATCGGCTACAGAATGTAGGCAGTTTATGGTAGCTATCGTCCACTTGGACAATGCCAGAGTATTCCTCGCCTAGTGTCTGTAGATCCTTTAGAGTTGTAAATGTTTTATACAGCACGGATGACATGGGTTCAGCTTTGGAAGCGTGTCTTGGTGGTAAAATCTTCGCGATCGATTCTGCCAACTGCTTCTCATACATGTCATCTTTTTGATATGCTCGAAGAATTTCTGCCGGTTGAGCTGCAGGCAAAGCCATGGTTGTATTTTGTTTAAAATAGTTTAGACTTTCCGGTATATTAAACTACTCTTTGGTTTAGACCAAAATGTCACAACACCGTAGAAAACCAAAACACACAAAACGTGTGACCAGACTAAATATTACGAAATTATCGAAGCACCTCAAAAAAAATACTGAAATATACCGACTTACACAGAGAAAATGTACCAATAAAAATATTGATTTTTAAAACAATTTTTATTTATTCACCAATACATTTTAGTTCATTCATCATTATCAAATCATTTTATTTTATAAATCTGTTTCTTTTTCACAGATAAATAAAAAGAGTACATCTTTTTATTCATCTGTGAAAATGTGGGCTCGCGGGAAACATTCGATACTGGTTTACATTTTATGAGATTTTAGAAACTAGGCATATGTGTTGGGATGTGGTTCGAAATTATAATCCAGTTCACGCTTGACAGTACTTTATTCACCACCCAGTTCACATAGTTAATACACAATGTCAATCACAATTCATTTGCTAAATACTGTACTTCACTAATCAGTCTTCAAAAATTGCATTTGAACGCACGCAAGTTGTAAACAAGTCCAGATGTCGTTGCACTTTCTCCCTTACGCCGCACTGCATAAGGCTCATATTAGAATAAACTCGCGGTGTTCTGGTAAATCTGTCTCCAGTATTTTCGCGGTTTTGTTTCGAGAGCGTTTGTGACAGTACTGTGTATATGTAATTACTATTATAAATGTGAAAGTTTGTATGTTTGTGTGTTTCAATAACGCAAAAACTGAACGGATTGGGATGAACTTTAGTACGCACATAGATTTTGACCTGGATTAAGACATAGGATACCTTTTATCCCGGAAAAACGATAAGTTCCTGAGGGATTTCCAAAAAATAAAATTAACATGGGAGAAATCACAGGTGTCTATTCTGACAGAGTTCTCTAAACCTAAACTTGACAACAGTGGTGTCTATTCTGGCATGATTCTCTAAACTAAAAGCTAAATTTAACATCGGAGTGATGTCGATTCTGGCATTATTCTCTAAAGCTAAAGTTAAATTTGACAACAGTGCATCCCTGTCATTCTCTATACAGAATGAAAAGGAGAGACTGATGTTAAATTTAGTTTTAAGTTTAGAGAATCACGCCAGAATCGATACCAGTGTATCCTTGTCATTCTTTATACAGGATGAAAAGGTGAGCCAGATGTTAAATATACTTTTAAGTAAGGAGAATCACGCCAGTAGCGACACCACTATTTATTTATTACAATGAAAAACACGCGCTCTATTTATATGACGACTAAAAACCTGCTACTTTTGGGAAATTCCTGAATTTTGTAAAAACTAAGGCAACAGAACTGCAGAACAGAAAATCATTTCACTTAAATCGTTTTAGCTAATAGACGATTTGTCTGTCATCATATCTGTAACTGGCTGATCACTAATCTCAAATGAATTAAAGACTTAATTTGGGAAATCAACAGAACATTAATGTTTGCGGGACGATCGTTACGGTGTTGCCATACTTTTTTCTAAAAATACCCGAAAAAACCGCCAATATACCTATAAAAATACTGACGCTCCGAAAAGCCAATAAAATATACCAAAAAAGTAATAAAATACTAAATCTGATCACACTGCAAAACATGTTTTTTAATGTTCTCCCTTTTCAGGTAAGGCAAAGGGAATAATGCCCATACAGCCTAGTCTTCAGGTTTCTCTATTCTTTTTTTTACATGAAATGAAGAATGTGGATGTAACACATTTTAATGTTTCTTGGAGTGTTTGGCACCCAAATGTATCAAATCAGTTTTCTCGATATGCTTCTGTGAGGTAGTCAAAGTGAACACTTATATTAAGTTCGCACGTCCCCTTGACCGGAATATATTCAGTTGCTCAGACGGCTGTAACGCAAATCAAACCAATTTTGTTTCACAATATGCACATTGAACGAATTAAAAAATAATTGAAATAAGATGTCAACCGCACTCGATGAAATCCCGCCCACTAGTGCAGTCATTGAAGCATTATTGCTCCGAATTTTTTTACTGTGAACCGAATTGCATACAATTTTGGAATTAGGTTCATCTTACCCTTAACTTCAAAAGTGAAAATGATTTGAACTCCGCAACCCCTTCTCGGGGGTGAATATTTTTTTTTCAAAATAAACTCGGATATCGTTAGAAGGACTAATTTTAAGCAAAAAATCATCTATAAAGTTTTTCAAAAAATCCAATACTTTTAAAGTTATCGGCAATTGAAAATTCGCAAGTTTTTCACGTTTTTCATCGGTTTTTTGCAAATATCTCCAAAAATATACGTTTTATCGAAAATTTTATAAAGAACAAAATTGTAGCAGGTAAAACAATGAACAATTTGGTTTTTTATGAAGTATTCTGAATGCAATATTAAGCTAGATATTAAAGATCAAAGCCGTTTTTTATTGTGTCTGAAATTTAATCGATGTGGTCAATGCCATCTAGCGGCGAGCAGATACATTTTATGCATTCTAATACAAAAAGGTTTTGTAGTGCTTGAAATAAGCTTTAAAATGAGCACTATTAAAAGTCTTTTGCGCGTAAAATAAGTGAGCTGTATTGCAAATAAGGGGAGCATCTAATGTTTTTTCTTTTAAATCAATGGGTTTCATAAATGCCATTTCCACCAAAATTAAAATTAATCGTATTCCGCCTAGAATTAACTTTATTATGAAGAGTTTGATAGATAGTATCAGTTTGGCTGCTTCAGGACAAATATTTTTCAAAAAAGTCACGATTAAAAACAAAATTTTAAAAAACCCACTTTCTTTTCATAATATCTCAAAAATTACGACAGATACGTATAAACGTGTACGGATTAAAACTTTAGGTATTTTTCTGACAAACAATTTGGTGTTTTTGTTTTTTCTGTCAAACAAAAATTGACGGAGATATGATCAAATCTAAAGAAAATATAACTAGAAAAAAAATATGATTGTTTAAAGAGCGCGTGGCAGCGCAATCACAGCCTGTCTTAAGCCCTTTAACCCTTCACTGTTTTAGAAAAAGGTTTTTTACTATATATTGCAATGAAGGATGTTTTAGCTCTCTTAATTACCTTTATAATGGTTTTTTATAAATTGTGATAGCATGAAAATTGAAGGAGTTAGGGTCCAAAAACTTATCATATTTTTTTCTACTTAGTAACTGAAAATTTCGGAGTGTGAATATTTGGAGCAATGTGAAAGTACGCAGTATAATAGAGACCCACAACTATTGTAATGTGTATATATATACATAATATGGCTCATATATTTTGGAAACGTAGGCATGAACACATACGAACGTTCTTATATGTATATATAACACATTTATATATACATATGTAAAGGGGCCAACGAAAAAGCCATGTGATCTGTTCGGGATAAAGGTCGAGTGGTGCGGTTCATTCTAATATGAGCCTTACGCAGTGCGGTGTAAGGGAGAAAGTGCAACGACATCCGCACTTGTTTACAACTTATGCGCGTTACCTGCGTACTATGCACTCGCGGGTGCTAGTCAACGTTCAATTTAACGGGACTTTTCTAGAATGCGTCGGTTGGCGTATATGCTTATATAATCGGGCCCGCAGCAAACAGTTTCAAAAGCGATTTCGATACGAATACAAAGGCGATCAAAGTGAAGGTAAAGGGTTCAAGTGCGGTTGTTTAAAGACTTAATTTAGTTTTACTTTCTAGTAAGTGTATTGTGGTGGACATTGTGTGTTAACTGTGTGGTGAATAAAGTACTGTCAAGCGTGAACTGGCATATAATTTCGAACCCCATCCCAACACCTAACAATATTATAACTATTGTTTCAAACTCGCAAGAGCCTAAAGTCGTAAAATATATAAAAGAAGTATATAGTTTTTGAACTCTTTATTGGTTTTTCCAATGGGGAAGATGCAATATTTTAATTTTTGTTTTCATTTTAAAGAATTCCATGTAGAATAAACCACAGATATATTAAAAAATGAAAACATTGTGATTTATCGGAAAAAATGCAGTTTTAAATTGACAATTTAAATTTTCGCGCGAAAACGAACCTATGGTTGCGATGACGTCACTCCTGTCTGTCACTGGTCGTACTTGTTCGTCGCTGGCTTTAAATTTTCATACTTTTGCATATTTTTTCGACTTTCGAAATATTTTTCTGAAAAATTAAAATGGACTATCCATCAACATCATGTGATCATAACAATACCACTAATATTCCGAAAAAAAGCCGTGTTGACTCATGTTTTGTGCCAATCTACTTCAACAAAGTTTCCAAATAAATTGTTTTTGACTGGAACTTCTGACCCAAAACTGAAAAAAGTGGTTTCAAGCTGCAAAGAGAAATGACAATTATTCTCCAAAGACCATTATTCGATGCTGTGAAGATCACTTTGACGTATGTCGACGAATATACTTGTTATATGCTTAATTAATCTGCTTGTACGTAAAACCGCATTAGTAACCTACCTAATACTTACAAAACCTGTCTATAACATATTTTTAATTTTACAGTTGAAGAATGACGTCGAAAATAAGATAAAGTTTAAAATGTGTGGCACAATCTTCAAATTGGCAGGACTGAACCAAGCTTTGCGTTTCATTTAAAATAACTGTAACACGATAACCTTCTTTACGTACTATGTGCTCCGGAGAACTCGACCTTTTACTGTACATAATTCTCCATCTCTTTTAATTTGGACATAGCCGATTGCATTATCGCCGTAAGATTTGTAGAAGCCGCTGAATAAAATACGAAGTTTAACAACTACGATTTTTACATACCGTAGTAATATAGTTCCTTTCATTTCTAAAAACTCTGCACTTTGGACAAAAAAAAGTTATAACCATGTCAATACTAACTCTTGGTAAATTCCTGGAGTCTGCTTTGATAAACGCAACTTCTATTTTTATTAAATGTCAAAAAACGCAATTAATATTCCCATTTAAATTTACTTTAACAACCATAACCTCAAAGAAGTTGTCATAACAGGAGTGACGTCACTAAACGCTGATTGGTGTTTTAAAATACGTTCCGTTTCAAGTATTATTAATTCGTAATAATTGTTAATAAACAACATTATGTAAAATAAAAACGTTGCAGTGGCATTTCTTTTATATTTTTTTAACATTTTAAACATAAAATTTTCATAAATATTATATATGCATCTTCCCTATTTAAGTATTACAAAAGTTTACTACTAAAATACTACTGCTATTATCGATAGATAATATCGCGATAGCATAGCATTCGATATATTTACCCGACTCCGATATAAACGTGCGTGAGCATGTCTGCAACTGCAACTGCAAAAAATTCTGGCAACTCTTCCCATAAGTGGTGCGACAGCAGAGCGATCCTTTTTTACACTTAAGCGTGTAAAAACGTGGTTGAGAGCTAACATGTTAGAAGAGCGATTAACAGGTTTAACTCTTCTAAACATTCACCCGGAAATAGTACTAGACGTCTCAAATATTATCACCCGATTCGCAAAAATAAAAAGACGACTTCCACTTGTTTTATAAGTATTGTATAAAATAAAATTGTGTCACACATCAAAAGACCAAATACTGCGTAAGTTGCTCAACTTCAACGTTCGCAGCCGAACGCGCTAACCACTTGCGCGATCAAGCTTCTCCATTCTCGTATAGTTATGTGTAATTGTGTTATGGAGAAGCTGAGCTTCCGTCAAAGGCATTTAGAATGACTGCTAGGGTTGGTTTTCCTATCACAGTCTCTGTAGACTGCAATAAATGGTCAAATAAAACCACAAAATGTATATAAAAATCTATCTTTATTTACAACAAATCAAAAAGATGAAAGCAAAAAATTATCCTAAACAATTTTGTTATTTTAAAACTTAAAGTAAAACAGGTAAAGGCGTACATGTATTTATATGTCTTTACCTGCTTTTATTTTGATACCACAAAACAGCTTGTTTGGCCGTAGTAGCTTAAGCCCTGGGTTCCGAACCTGGAACATTAATTACCCCTCGGAAGGTAAATCAGCCATACTTCGGGGGTAACAAAGAACCTAATTATTTAGTCAAATCTAAATAATACTACTAAATAAAGCATGCGCTCCTACTTGCTAGTGAGCCCGCGGGGTGCTGAGTGTGGGAAGCGGGGCGAGATTCTCTCCTGATGATGACATTATTAGAGACGAAGATGTAGCGGCCAAATTGGAATTTTTTGGACTGATGATAACATTTTAAAAACGGGGTAATATCTGTTTCCCTAATAGGTTACAGGGGTAGCAGTATTGGAAAGGTTAGGAAACACTGGCTTAGGCGGTAAAGTTATACCGGCCCGGTATACTTTTAACGACCTCCGTGGCCGAGTAGTATGTACGCCGAGTTTCAAGGAGTCGCCTACTCGAGAGGCAGAGTTTCGAGGTGTCCCGGGTTCGAATCCCGTTAGGGCAAATGTTAGTATGATGAATACAAGCATTTGTACCTAAGTCTTTATTTCTAGATAAAATATATTTATATATGTATCAGCATATGTATTCTATCCGTTACCCTAGTATCCCATAAAACAAGCCCTTTCAGTGCTTACTTTGGGGCTACGCTAATTAAATAAGTGTTAGTACCATTTATGTATTAATTGTTATTTATGTGCGGGCGTGGTGAAAGTCGCGACTTTTTAGAAGAAACTATCTGTACTTTCTATGTGTTGAATGCGTGTTGTTACTATAGTGATTTCTGCCGTCTTATCCTTTGTAGGGATACTGCGGGTGTCAGAAGTCCTGGTGATATGAATGCATAACTACTGGTGATATAAGTGGACGCGTGTCGAGTCCTGTGCGTATATATTTTTATTTACAACTAGCTGTGCCCCGCGGTGTTACCCGCTGTTTATTAGGGATATTTTCCCGCAGTAAAACGAAGCCCATGTGTCCGAAAATCGAAATCCAGGGTGTCAGCTAACTTCATACCAAATTTTATTAAAATCGCCCCAGCCGTTTAGGCGTGAAAAAGTAACAAACATACACACTCACAAACTTTCGCCTTTACAATATTAGTGTGATAATGATGTCGATTCTGACATGATTCTTTATAGCTTTAAACTTAAATAACTTAAATTTGACAATATTTTATCTTTGTCATTCTTTATACAGAATGAGGAGAGACTGGATTTAAATTTAGTTTTAAGTGTAAGAGAAAAGGGTAGATACGGTACGCTAATACTAGCATCAAATAAAATATGCACCGACTGAACTATATTATCAACTCTCACTCACGCACACGCCTGTATATAAACATTCAATCAAGAGAGCGAGACAGAAGTGTATGCTTCAACGCAGCGTATTGTTGTCCTTTTCTTGATAACAAAATGGCGATAACGTAAACAACATTCACGACAAACCGTAATTTTTGAGAAAATAATGATTTTACAGTTCTACCAATGAAAAGTGTTGGCGAGGCATTTGTTATTTGATTTCGAACTATTTGTGTTCTTTATAAAAGCATCGAAGGCATTGTTTTATCTTCATAACACAGAATATACGAAATATTGTTATATTGAGTGCACATGCAGCTTGTTTGAATGTTCGATTGTGACTAAAGCGAATTGTGGTCATACACCACAATTTAAGCGGATCACTTTTGAGCCGCGAGTGCCGTATCTTCCCTTTTGGTTTTAATCTAAGGTTGAATATATGTTGTTGTTATATTGTTTTCTATCGTACCCCTTGTAGGGATACGGCGGGTGTCAGAGTACTTGTGATAGAATGATTAGAATGCAAAACTACTGGTGATATAAGTGGACGCCTGCCGAGTCCCTTGACGTATATATTTTTATTTACAACTACAATTATGACATAAAAATCTTCAAAGCCAAGTACTTCATCTGTACTTTCTATGGGTTGAATATGTGTTGTTGCTATAGTGGTTTCTGTCGTATCCCTCGTAGGGATACTGCGGGTGTCAGAAGTACTGTTGGTACGAATGAGCGGGAGTATGTCAAGTCCTTCGACGCTTGGCGGGCGTGGTAGCAGGCGGGGTAGAAGTGTTAGCTCTCCGTCTACCACGCCGAGCAATGCTGTCTTCGTCGAGTAATGGAGAGTCCCATACTGTGAAATTTGGAACTATTTTATTTACTTGGTCGCCAACAAAGTTACACTTAGACATTTCTTATTTACACATTTATAATTAGACACTTTATTAGTGGAACTTTAATTCTAGGCGATTACGACATCCAATATACACTTAACTAGCAATTAAATCTTATGAAATTTTAAAAATGATGAAGATAAAGATAATAACATTAAAATACATAGCCATTTTGAATGAAAATAAAATTAACAATTGACATCAATTGAACAACAACAATAAAATAAATGAATGAAAATCTATGTGGGCACAACCAAACAATATTTGGGATATAAAACTATATCAATGGAATAAAACATGATAAGAACGAAGTCATACAAATTATTAGCTGTGCCTGCAACCTTGTTTGAGCGTGGATTTCAGAGATAACCCCACCCTTATTTTGGGGTATAAAAAATAGTTTACGACCTATTCTCAGATGTACTAAATATACATAAAATATCTAAAAAAAACAGTGAGGGTAGCTACTAAAGACTTAATTGGCACAGCTGGGCGGTAAAATCGAATATATGTAGATGAATGTTCAGCAGTAATTACTTCGGGTCCGCTTTGTTGTTCGACAAATACTGCTGCACCAATATTCCGGCCGGATTACGTGTGTAGCTACTAGCTATTTTGGAGGAGTTTGATAAACAACTCTGTGACCCAAGATTTTTATATGTTAATTAATGCATATTAGCATTAAAGCTAATCGTATAAGGAACAATAACACCTGAACTGATCGACTAGATTAGCTATTCATACTGCTAAAATAAATCAACCCAAGTTCTTGGTTGTTTGTTAAGGTATGTTATAAATTTCTAAATTCATACAATAACTATAGCTATTATTTCTAAAATATTAATAAATAAATTAAGCAGTAAAAAAATAAATATATAACTGGTACACACCAACACTTTTTGCAACATAAAAAATAAAACTAACCTGCTGCAGAAGCAACTTTAGCTTTTGGTGTCCTATCTCTTTGTGAAGTTGATTTTCTACTAGTGGAACTCTCTCTAGTACCGGAAGCATTTGAGTCTCGTGAATCTCTCCTTCTATCTGCAATAGTAAAAGCAAATTAATAAATAATAATAACATTATACAAAATATGAACTGACATTAGATTATTTATATCCTGATGGCGTTATATCCATCTCTTTTGCAAATAAAGGTGTCTGCATCAGATTCTGGCATCAAACTGAAACTATATCTGAGAATCTGAGAAAAAAAACTGAGAAAGGATGTGCTATTCTTATCATATCTATAGGGAATGAAACAGGGAGACCCAACTGCTAGCATCAACTACCAGGTTTACCTTAAATTAGTGTGAAAGGGAGGAACAGTTCAGTTACTGTAATTAATGATAGTTAAACAATAAGATAAGATACATAATGGTGTCGATTCTGGCATGATTCTCTTAACTTAAAACTATATCTAACATCAGTCTCTTCTTTTCATTCTGTATAGAGAATGACAAGGATACACTGTTGTCAAATTTAAGTTTAGGTATAGAGAATCATGCCAGAATCAATACCATTATTATATAAGAAAATTTTGAGGGCTGGTCACATGATAAAGAGGTGAAGAAAAATAGAGCATATTAATAATCTTACAGTATCCAAAAAGAAGGTAAGAGAAGGAACGGGAAGAGATGGGAGGTTGACATAGTGAAGTTAGCGGCGAAAATATGAACAAGGCTGGTTTCTGTGCAATATGATTTCACAGCTAAAATGCAATATAATCTTTGTCATACTTATCAGCACACCTGGACAAAATTTGTTTAAAATATTTTTCATATAATATGAATTTTAGTGCTTAAAGGCATGTTCAAGTAGATACTAAAAACATTGCTAACATATTAACAACAGTTAATAAGAGAAATATGACTTTAAGGGCTTAATAATAATTAACAGTAAATAATAAGGATTCAGAAACAAATACATACTCTTACCATAATCTTTCTCAGATTTTATGCTTGGTGTGTCGGTAGATGCATGAGAACTACCACTTTCTTTCCGGCTTTTTGTAGCTAATGCACTGATACTGTCTTTACGATTCAGTCCTTAAACATAAAACGCCTACTTCAGAAGTGAAGTTAGCGAAAAAATAAAGCATGCATGATACATGTTATGATCATACTATATTTAAGAAAAATATCAGTGAAGCTTATTCCTAGCTACATAATATAAGCAGATCGTATAGGTAATAGCAATCATCTTAAGCAAAACCACAAAAAAAAACACAGTAGATGTTTTTGTATATAGAATTGCTACTGCGCAGGCATCTTGTCTGTGTTTGTTGCTCAAGAAGTTTGCATATATTAATCTTACTATGGTTATTAGTCACTTAAAGTCACTAAGCTTTATGGTATGAAATTCCCATCTGCTGCCTGGTCTGCGTGGATATTTTTCTAGTTATAATCAAGCAGTTACATGCTTAAAAAAATACAAAACGTTAAGACTGTTTCCCTTCTCCAAAGCTTAGTGAAAGCATATGCTTTAAAGAACCCATCAATTATGGTGATAAGTATTTCGTATATTTTTTTTAAACAGTAATTTTTTTTAATTCTCCTTGCAATCAGATTTGGTGATATTTTGCTTGAACCCTGTTGACATTTAGTACTTAGATAATTAATGGCTCCCTTTCATGATAAGTGAAGGTTTAGACAATAAATAACAATGTTTACTATGAATTTAGGAAGGATATGTGAACTAATAGCATTTACTAAGTAGAAATACAAGGCAATGACCATTCCCCAATACTGCAACAGTTGTGTATAGTGAATTGCTACCTTTGGGTGTATTATCTTTAGATGCAAAGCCCCTAGAACTGCTTTTAGGGGTTGAAGGCTTAGGTGACAGGCTCCGCTCATCTAAATATGAAGCATCATTAATACACAATGCTTTAATAGTTAGTTGCATGCACAAACATACGGAATTAGTTAAACAATGAATATAATACCTTCATTATCATCAGCTGTCACAGTTTCTTTACATTTGTGTTTCATTAGGGCGCCAAATTCACTCTCTGGTAAACTGAAAGGCACTTCATGATTCGGGAATGGTATAGGTTCTGTATCATCCAACATCGATATGTCATACAATGTCTCCAAGTGTTTCCAGATGTCTTGCGTCGATATTTCTTTTGTGATAGAATTGGATAGTTTCTCCCAAATACAAGCCATGTGAAAATGTTTGTTTATACCAACCGGCTTATGATTTGCCATGGCGTAAAACAATTGGATTTCCATGTCGACATCCCATTCTACTGCGTCACCAGTTTTTACATCCGATTCTTCTTCACTTGAAACCATTATTTTTAACAAGATACGATTCAGCAACTGTTGTTAATACAAAAACAAAATACAAAATTATAAAGCAAAATGACAATTCTGGGACAACATATTTTAAATTTCTTTACTTGTTTTAGGAAGGCAAAGGGTACTGTGCCCATACAGCTAATAGATATAACAGGAAACCAACAATGTTTTGTTTTCTGTCATTCATAGCAAGCAGTAAAGTACAGATGCATCACATCACAAACACATGCAGTTTGTGGTACAGATATACATGTCTTTTAAATAGTTCGCTAGAGCGCATGGCGCTATGTGAGGACCGAATTCCTCCAATGGATTTGAGTTATGGCGGCACTTAACTTGGACATTCATATTTGTCTTTTTTTGTAATGTTTGACAAATAATCAACAAGTGTGGTTAGTTTGATCTACAAAACATTTGCTTTACTAACAAACTGTAGTCTGAATGCATCTTTAGGTATTTGTAGTGCCTTCAAGTATCGAGTACAAATCGAGTAGCCAGAGGTGGTTTTCCAATTATAGAGCATAATGCGACTCAGTGGCGCACAATGTCGAATTATGCTGATGCTTAATTGGAACGTGAATTAGTTTTCAAATGCACCAGCAGAGTGCGCTAAGTTCAGTGTTGAAAAATAATGTCAATGTTTGTACCTTCATCCATATTTATATTTAATTTTTAACACAGATTGAATTAATTTTGATTATTTAAAAAAAAAATGGTTGCCTGTAAAGTCGGTTTTACGGGCGAAGATTTTACGTGACAACGTCTTTTTCTCGGTAGAATATTTATTGATATGAATATAATTAAATTGCACAATAGGAACAAGGAATTGAATGAAAATAAGAATTGCACAAATTTTAACTATAGAAATATATTTTGTTTACTAAAACATTGTACATGTAAACTTAAACTTAACACGAGAGACTCATCGTAACGTTACCGAGCGTTACACTTTTTCATAAGTGACTCCCAGCCGCAACCTAATTTAAGACGTTGTCACGTCAAAACTATAATAAAATGAAAGTTTTAATAATTTTTCAACAATAAATAATATTACCAACGATAACATATAAATAAAACATTTCGATCAATGCCAACTTAAAGAAAAAACACTTGTTAATTTTACTGTCTCTGAATTGGTACGATTGCACACAAGACACGAAAGCATTACTTTTGAGAGTGTTCGATTGTGCGAAGCGTTGCTGTAGTTAAAACACTCAACGTTAAGCATTATGCCGCATAATGCGCTATTATGCTGTAATTGGAAAGCTACCAGAACCTGTACCTAGATTTCAAAATTTGCATTGGCAACACTGGACACAGCGGCTGTCAATGTCAATCACAGAAATTGTCTTTGCGTTGCGGTGTTCGTTCAGTCAATTCCGTTTTCATTAATTTCATTTGATATTTCGTGATAAAAAGCTAAATCTGATGCTGTAATATTAAGTTCAATAATGGCCAACCATTATGAAGTGCCGAACTGGTAAGTCAAAACATTGTTTCATATAAAACAATGCGTTGTGTATAGCATGGCCGTTTGTAACCACAGTGTATTTCATGTAAAAATTCAGCAATAAGTCTTAATTCCTTAATATAAATCAACTATTTTATCAATTATTTATTTAACAGTCTTATATACGGCCAAATTCTTAAGCATTTTTACGCAAATATTTAGATAAGTTCGACCGCTCTTTCCCTAGCCTTGCAATATGTCAATTTATTTTAGGGCTGGAAAACCTCCGACAGGATTGCATTTAGATGTTTTGAAAGGTGATAAATTAATACAAAAACTAATGCTAGACGAGAAGAAATGTTACCTGTTTGGGCGCAATCCACAAATGAATGATTTCTGCATTGATCACGCCAGTTGCTCGAGGGTTCATGCTGCGTTTGTTTATCACAAAGATTTGAACAGAGCTTTTTTAGTTGATTTGGGTAGTAGTAAGTATATCACACAGGTATTTAATTTTATAATGTTGGATTACAATAGTATCTTAGGCTTGTTTTAACGAATGACAACAAGTGTCGATCTTTGACGACCTCCGTGGCCGAGTTGTTCATCTGCCAGGTTTCATGGTGTCGCTGACTCGAGAGGTCCCGGGTTCAAATACCGGTGGGGACAGATGTTTGTGTGATGAATATGAGCATTTGTACTCCAGTCATGGATGTTTAATGTTTTTCTATAAAAATATATATGTATAGCATATGTATTCTATCCGTTACCCTAGTATCCCATTACACAAGCCTTACAGTGCTTACTTTGGGGCTAGGCTAATTGGTGTGAGTGTTAGAAATATTTATTTATATTTACTTGAGTACAGTTAAAAGGGGATGTTGCTATGTGCTTTACAAAGCCACATCCCTTTCTAACTGTACTCAAGTAAAGATCAACACTTAGTTGTCATTCTGTAGTACGAGCCTTAGACTTATGATGTGTACAGTTTAAAATTTTTAAATCCTAGCTCACAATAGAATCTTATTATAGTAAAGTGAATCAGTTATAAAAAAATTGTTGGCCTTTAGGAGGGCCAGATGGTGCAAATGAGGCACCTATCATTAAATTTAAAAGATTTGAAATTAAATTCAAACATCCATTAATGTTTATCCAAGCTGCATGGTAAATGAGAGAATTCACACATTGCAGCCAATAACAACATAAATGTTTATTAAAAACATTTTGATTGAATGAATTGTGCCTTATCAGTTGCACATGTCCCTGTGGCCACTGTACATTGACATATTGTTTTTCATTGAACACAACACTTAAACTACACTCTTCCCTTATCACAAAGAAGTTAACTGTCTATCTACAAATAAGTTAGATATGGTTTCAAACCTAGTGCAAGCAAATTTTTAATGTCATTTTTTCTTAAACTCAAGCTGAACTCATGTCTTTTTTTGTAGTAATAATGTAAAAATTTGACACAAATTTAAAAGAATATTTTATGATTTGCATAGGCATGGTTTTAAAACAGTGTCTAAATTTTATGTAATGGATCATTTACTTTAACTCTTGGCAAGTTAACAACAATCTGCAAGTTAAAAAGTTCTGTTGTGGTCTAGAAGGCAAATTACACAACTGTAGTTTCTAAGGATTGAATATGGTCTGTTCTGTATTTTATTCTTCAAAATCAAAATTATTTCTAGTTATATTTTCTTTAGATTTAAACATCAAGCAGTTACATACTTTAAAAATAATAAAATTTATAATCAAAATATATTTATTCACCAATACAAAATTTTATATTCTTGGAATGATATTTGTCAATAAATTATGATTATCTATGTATTGAGCACTCTTTACTAATTTTATTAATGTAACTTGCCTATGCCAAAAATAATACCAACTGCAAAGCGGTATTGTTATTTCGACTTTGTTTAGTTTTCAAAAGTTTGCAATTAGAAGCTATTTTATTAGTTATTATTTCACACATTTTATGAATTGACTTTTAGCACATGGAACTTACATTGGCAAAATGCGCCTTGAAGCACACAAACCAACACAGTTGCCAATTGATTCCAATTTCCATTTTGGGGCTTCCACAAGAAATTATATCATAAGGTAAGAATTAAACAGTCACAACTTAAAATTACTTTTGTAAACAATGCAATAAAATTACTTTCTTTTTTAGGGAACGGCCAACTGGTAACGCCCGAGGTATAATTGAGGATTTACCCAACACAGAACAGGAAGGAGCATTGCTAGGGCTTCCAGAAACACAGACAGAGTTGGATGTAAATATTTTCAGTCAATATTGTAATATATATGGGTTTGTTTGAACATCTATAGGCTTAGAATCTCCGACACCATGTAGGTTGGTTGGAAGAGATCTCTTTTAGAGATTAGCCCACCTTCCTACTTATTTAACATTGTATACTTGTATTATTTTTTATGCAATAAAGAGTATGATATAATGGTAGTGAGGTACAAACCTTAAAAAAGTAAAGCTATAGGAATATTGCAAAGGGTTTAATTATCTTACCAATTCATATTAGAGTTAAGTAAAACTATAATGTTTTTATTATTATTTAGACTCAGTACTCATTTGGTCATAAGGTTTGAAATTTTAATATAGTTTTGATTATCCTTAATATTTTTATGTACTTTAGTGGTATTTTAAACTTCTGGTGTGTTTTCAGAATTTAACAGAGTTTAACACAGCTCACAACAGAAGAATATCAATGTTGGGTATATCAACAGATGATGGAACTGATGTCATGAAGGTTTGTTTGTTTTAATGTATAACATCAATGTAGATATATTATGAGGTTTCCTTTTGATTTTATACTATGCCAACATGGTGTAACCTCACAGCATGATGGCATAGTGTAAAAACAAATGTATGTGACTTTTGACCTTGAAATTTAATCAATTCTGTGAAGAACTATGTCTCTACAAATCACACATCTTGGACCATGACCTACCACCACATGGTTCCAGTATGGTTTGTGAGTGTTCATGATTGCCAGATGGTTGGGAATCGTCTGGATTCTCCCGACATTTTATGTGATCAAAGTTCCGGACAAACGAGAATGACAATCCACTTATCCTTTACCCTGTGCTGCAATATTACTTGAAAATCGCCGCACGTACGTTGTAATTCTTCCGACAATTATCCCAAAATCCCGACATTCTAAAATGTTATCCAGATATTAGATCAATCACCAGGTCTAATGTCTTAACTGTTAAATTTTAAGTCACCCATTGTATAACCAGATATAGCTAAAGTTGCTTAACTATCATGGTTGTAGACCAAACTCGCTTAACAATTGCTAAGTAAGAATATATTTTATTTTTTTTTCAGCCCCCAACTGGAACTAAGCGCTCCGCCTCAATGCCTGGAGGTATCCCAAAGAAGCAGAAGCGTAACGTCTCCTTCAATGAGGAAGTGGACATCATTAACCCCGAGGACATTGACCCGACCATCGGTCGTTTCAGGAACCTGGTCAAGTCAACGATAGTGCCCAATGCAAATACACCACCGAGAAAACTGAAGTTACAGAGTGCTGATGATAGTAAGCATATTAGATTTTTGATGAGAAATATTGTTAACACTGAAGTATTGTAGTTTCGAACCAATTATTTCCTGACCCACTTGCCTCATAACTCGCTTAAAAATGACAAAACAGAAATTGATATTTGTTTTGTCATTTTTAAGGGAATTATGAGTATGTATATCGACAGATGACGAACTGATGTTATGAAGGTTTGTTTGTTTTAATGTATACCTAACATCAATGTAGGTATATTATGAGATTTCCTTTTCTTCTTCTTTTATGATGGCTTGCGTTGTGACTTAGCACAGCTCCGCCAATGTCAAGTGATTAGCCATTACACGTAAGGGAATGACAGTTAAAAATCAGAATTATGGTTACCTATTTTATAAGCACTTTTACCTGTAAAGAAAAACGCCACAATCAGGACAACACAAACATAAAACAAGTAAAGCAAGGAGCTTTGTTTTAATCTTAGTTTGTTATGGGAAATAAATTTGGCCAAGAGCTTGAGGGTTGAGTAATCACATAAACATAGTAGGACTTTCATGCTTATTGGATGTGGAATAGTGGGAGGTAAAATGTCATAGAGAGAGATGTTTAATTTGGGGCAGTTAAAGAAAAGATGATCCACTGTACTGTACATCCTCGGTTCCACAATCACATGTGGGGCTATCACGTATTTTTAACCTAGCCAAGTGAACAGGGGTAGTGGCATGACCTATCCTCAATCTACAATTTTTTTTTCGAGATATCCTTTTGTTTTATACTATGCCATCACGGTGTGAGGTTGTATATGACAATACAGACCAAGTAGTTGGCAGTAAAAGGGATTCAGCATTTGCAAAGTTCAAAGTCAGATTTTCAATGTAGCCACTAAGAAGAATGTATTTCACAGTAATTCTTGGCAAAATAGTAGAAATCTCAACTAAGTACACATGGCGTAGCTTCTTGACCTTCACAAGTGCTTGTAACAGCCTAAGCTGTTGCAAACTTCTAATTTATTTCATTTCTATTACGCTATACAAGTGTGAGTTGAGTATAGATATGGACAAAACTACTTTACAGTAGGGCTAAAAGACGATATTGCAATTCATATAAACTCCATCAATTATTCGAAGAACTATCTTTTTTTTTTTATTTATTTGTTTATAATCAGGCAACGTAGGCCCATAGATAAATACCTTATAGTTTAACATAAATACAGATATAGGTAATACATTAAATGTTGGTAAACAAAAAAATAATAACTATGTTAGCAGAAACCTAAAATTATTATATTGTGGTACGGTAAAGGATATGTGAATTCATTCATGCTCGTTTGTTCGGGAGTCCGGAGATCACATGACAGAATGCTGATAGTGTTAAGTCCGCCTTTTATCCATTCTTGTAATTGTGACAATAAAGTGTAAATAAATGACTCGTTCACCAGATCAACACCATCACTCGCTGAGGTTACAGGAGATATCCCGAGGAGGAAACCTATATTCGGATCTGCCTGCCCCCAGCTCACATCTCAGTCTCATTGGGGCAAGGTAAGTTGATGCAAACTTCTAATTTATATCTTCCTGAACTTACTCTATAAAAAAATTAAAGAAACATAGGCATAAACCCTGAAAGTGACGACCTTCGTGGCCGAGTGGTTTGTACGCCGGGTTTCGTGGTGTCGCCGATTCGAGAGAGAGTCCCGGGTTCGAATCCCGGTGGGGGCAAATGTTTGTGTGATGAATACGAGCATTTATACTCCAGTCATGGATGTTAAATATGTATTTCTATATAAATATATTATATATGTATTTTATCCGTTATCATAGCATCCCATAACAAGCCTTACAGTGCTTACTTTGGGGCTAGGCTAATTGGTGTGAGTGCTGGAAATATATTTATTATATATATTTATTTATTAGGTTTTAAAGAAAATGTAATGTGTCCTTTTTCTTTAAGGTTGGGCTTGTCACTACCAAATCCTGCGCCTGATGTTGAATTAGAAGGACCGGAGCCTCATCTCAACATTCACCCTCCTCTACCAAATTCAGGTAAAGCTAGAGAAACGAAGCTACTGCAGTTAACACATAATATTGACAATTTTGCGTATAGTTTGAAGATTGACTGTGTTTCATTGTTTTCTTAGAAACAACATTGGACGTATTACACACTTACATTTTATCCGCGGTACTTTTAATCCGTCTAGGGTTGAAACGATACCATCTAGGTATCGATGCCTACTCGGAATCGAATGAAAAGTATCGATACTTACTTGAATCGATAAATTTTGACGAACGATATTACCATTACAAATTCCGTAACAGTTTTTATTTGACGAAAACAAAATAACGTCTCACGCCACGCGATGAACGAATGACTTACTGAAAATTTGAAATAAATATAAATCATATGTATGGCTGCCAACTGAGCAGTAGAAAGGATGCGTTCGCGAAACAAAAATTCCAACTAGACACCTTACCATAGAGTAAACAATCTGCCTATGGGTTTTTTTGATACTTCTCAGCGAGTGACCGACCGAGTACCGATACAAGTGCTTACTTCACGATACTACTTGTTACTCAGTTCTAAAGTATCGATGCCAAAAGTACTTGGTATCGAAAGAAAAGTATCGAGTAGTTACTTCTATTTACTCGTATCGTTTCATCCGTATATCCGTCGCGTGCGTTACTCGATGAAGTTGGAAGCGATCTATTTCGACAGGCAAAATAGTCGGCGGACAAGCGCAGGGCGCATTCGTCTGCGCAGGCTATTACTGTGATTTTTTGAAATTTCAAGAATAATGAGAACGCGTAAAATTTCCACTTAGATGAAAAACACAATTTTGTCAAAATAAAGAATTCATAATATGAAACTTATAACTAATATTACTGGTTATATTCAATTTCGCCGTTTCAGTACCTCTAGCACGTACCAATATCGAATTCGTATCGTTTGCGAGTCCGAAATGTCATTGTCAAATGTGTACTGATTTTTAGTTCTCGTTACATACTTTTTGCCGCTGCTGTTCAAGTTTCCATACAAAATTTGACATTGACATTTCGGTTTGCAAATTATTCGTATTCGATAATGGTTCGTGCTATGGGTATAGTTTTGTGTTTGTAACACACTAAACCATACTTATATTCTTTAAAAAAAGTAATATATTTATCCTTTTTTCCCACAGCCCCAGAAGAAGCGGGCCCCTCAAGCGAGCCGAAGAGGAAGAAATACGCCAAAGAAGCGTGGCCGGGCCGGAAACCGGGTCTAGTACCAGGCGTTTGAACGTAGCTCTAGATCGCGTTATGGACCGCCCCGAAGTTAGCAGCGAAGCCGGTGCAGTAGTTCCGCATTTGAATTTCGAAGTGTCTTCTGACTTTTTCGAGTTCAGTCCCTTGAAATCAGTTGACTATTTCAGGAGTGTTTTGGTCGCCAATCAATGACGTATTATATAGATAGGTTTTACGCCAAAATTATTGCATTTAAAAATGACACAAGCAGTCCCTTCCTTCACTTCCTTTGGCAACAGCCGCTAATAGAGCGCACTAAATTAAACTAAACTAATTAAACTAAATAAACCTGTTTTAGCTAAAACACTGTTTTGTCTTGTTTTTTTAAGCACTGTCAAGATCTGAGAGAAAGTGACAAAACAGTGCAATAGTTAAAACAGGTTTATTAAACTGTTAAAATTTAAAAAAATTGCAACTGTTTCTCAGAATTACTTCTTGAATTATACACAGGACATAATTGTGCCAATCCACCTGTTATTCTTAAGTATATCTTAAAAGAGAGTCAAACTTGTGGAATATAATTAAATCTGTATTGAAATTCATCAAATAGATTTACTCTTTGGAACAATCAAACAATTACTGCACTCCTAATATAATTAAGTTTATGATGTATTATGAACTGAGTTGTATGTCAGGCGTTTTAACTAAAATAGATTTATACTTAGATATAAATTGAAGAATATTTGTACATTTTGTAAATGTATTCGAGAGCGAAGTCAATACTTTGTGCAGTGAGTTGTACAATAAAGTATGATTTGCAATAAGTTTTATGTCGTTGTTTCATTTGTTTTGAATTTGCGGTATACTTTAGATATTTATCAAATACACTCCAAGCATCTATATATATATGAAACTCAAAGGTGACTGACTGACTGACATAGTAATCTATCAAAGCACAGCCCCAAACCATTGGCATGCAGGTAGATGTTATGACGTAGGCATCCGCTAAGAAAGGATTTTGATCAATTCTACCCCCAAGGGGATAAAATAGGGAATGAAAGTTTGTATGAAACTTTGTCAATTTTAAACCGGTCGGGTTGAGACTTTGCATGCAGGTATAAGAAGAATCATAGATGAATGTCATTGTGTATAATACAAGCCTGAGAACAAAAACTGTAGTCTACACTTCAGCTCTACACCGAAGCGAAGCGAGGGCGGGCCACTAGTTAAATATAAAATTATTTATTGACGAATCTATTTTTTCATTCTTAAACAGTCCTAAATCATGCTTGCTGATTTGTGCACAATTTCCGGGTAGTTGTGTGTTGGGATGGGACATAATGAAAGTAACTTTATGAGTTTTGTTTGCGGAATACATTATAATAAAACGTTACTATTAGCTGCGTTCTTTATTGTAGGGTAGCCCAAGCGGGGATTTTTGGATATACTCGAGCGCGACAGAATAACATAATATGGGAAACAATCTTGCACCTAGTTAAGTACTCCCACCATACCTGAGCCCTCTATGTAGGGCCGAACGTCTAGGGCAGCAAAAACAAATTTCAACGAACGGTCATGACTTTTGGTCCCGCCCAAATCGTCGGTCTTTTGAATATAAGCGACTAGAGAGTTCATGTAACGTTTCAAAGAACGGAAAAATATTGATCTGCTGCGGTTTGCATGATATAGGAGTGACAGTACGCAGGGTTAGAATTTAGGAAAAAATAACCGACCGCGTCAGACATTGAGAAGGGATGTTACGTGAACCCTCCAGTAGCTCCTATTTAAAGGACTGACGATTTGGACCCGACCAAAAGTCATGGCCGTTTGTTGAAATTTTGCTTTTGCTGCCCTAGACGTTCGGCCCAAATAAATAGCTGAGGTATAGTGGGAGTACTTAACTATGTGCAAGGTTGCTCCCCATATGTTATTCTGCCGCGCTCGAGTAAATCCAAAAATCCCCGCTTATGGTCCCATACTATTATTTGCGTCTGATCAATCTTTTTAGTCTGAATCGTTAATTACATCTAGAGTAAAACTGAACCATTTGGTAATTCTGAACTTTGAACCCTTAGCACGAACCACTATAGAAATCGAATAGTTAAATTCGATCTAGGTATACGTCAATTGTGTACTGATTTTTAGGCCCGTATTATAGAAAGATTCTCAGTGATTGATCTAGTCTTGAGCATAGGTAGAAAGGGATGTCCCTATATATAGCACATAGGGACATCCCTTTCTAACTGTACTCAAGTAAAGATCAACACTTAGTTGTCATTCTGTAATACGGGCATTAGTCCTGGTTACGTTAGTTGTGGTGCTGCTGTACGAAATTAGTTTGCGAGAACGAAATGTCATGTCGTACGAATTCGAGTACGAAATGTAATTGTCAAATGTGTACTGATTTTCAGTTCTCGTTACGTACTTTGTGGCGCTGCTGTTCAAGTTTCCATACAAAATTTGACATTGACATTTCGCACTCACAAACTATTCGAATTCGATAATGGTTCGGGCTAAGGGTAGTAGATCAGTCCGATGCAAATCTGTTTGCTCGGAGTGTTTTGACTGACGAGAAAGAATAATTTGGTTATCTGTTATGTTCTGAGGTTAGAAATTAATCTACGATTGGCCGGGCCCTTCGTCAATTTACTCAGATTAATCTGTAATTACATAACCAAAAATCCGTCGCCTCTGCGATGCAAATACCGACGTAGCTAATGTACTGAACTAAAGCAGTGTAATAATATCTACAGCATTCCAACTTCACACAAACCGACGGAAATTAATCTCGCATTACCATGTGTCACCGCATGCTAAAGATACTGAGGAGACGCATCCAACAGCCGTACAGGAAACCTCATCATCATCATCAACAGCCTATTAATTTCCCCACTGCTGAGGCACAGGCCTTCCCTATGGATGGAATAGGGAGATTGTGCGGATTGGCGGGTGCTAACGCCTGCAGATGCAGCCGAGACCAACGGCTTAACGTGCCTTCCGAAGCACGGACGAGCTCGAGATAAGAAATTTTTAGTCACCCATCCATTGACCAACCACTGCGAAAGTTGCTTAACTTCAACGATCGCAGGCGTCGGCGCTAACCACTTGCGCCATCGAGCTCCTCATTAAGTGTGCACAGGTTTCCTGTGACGAAAAAAAGACGCTGCTGTAGAAAGGCTTCCTTTATCGATATTAAATTTTAAGGAGTCGCTGTGGTACTCTTTTTTTTTAAGGTTATAATGCGTAGCTTGTTGGTTAGGGCTCCTACACAAAACTCTTTAAAGGTACTCTTATTACTGGTGTCGTGTGAGGCGGTTCGTTACGTTCTCTAAAATATGGTTGAGCGAAGCGATGGCTGGTTCATGCGTCATGAACGGGTGCTGCCAGCGGAGATGAGTCTGCCCTAACTTCCTTGATATCGAAAATGTTAATGTTTATTTACACTTAATATAAATACCAGTATTTGTAATTATAATGTATGACACAGCAATCACAATGCAGGTAAACAATTAATGTATATTTAATCATTATGTAATGAAAGGCGACTTCATGAATCCTCTCTGAAGTCATTTTTCAATTTGACGGCACTTTAATTAATAAAACAGGGAGAAAAAAAACAGCCCTTGCTGAGTTTCTTGCCGATTCTTCTCAGTACAAGGTCTCCCGCCGTAGATTTACGAACCGATGGCGAAGTTTCTAGACATTCATGAGTGCTTGTAACAGCCTAAACTGGATAAATGATTTTGATTATGATTACTTTTTATAAGTATTCAAAGGTACTAGTACTCTCTACTGTTACTAAATTAGTAAACTAGAATTTTGATATGCCGTTGTTCTACCATTTTCTATAGTGCTACGTCGCATCGCATTGCAGTTTTGTGTGGGAGCACACATGCCGTAGTACAACTTCGCAAGGCGCGCTACGTCGTAGTCTGTATTTAGTCGTAGACTCGTAGTATTGGGTGTAATTCGGATTACATGTTTTCGTGAATTTCTCATAGGTGCTTTAGCTTGTAAGCATTGTGTACTTTGTGTCGTATTTAGTCTATACGTTTACATTAGACTAGGTATATTTTACTCGCGGAGCCGTGGTAGAATCCCTAACGGGGACCCCGCGGCTTCGCATTAAGCAGTGTAGAAGGTATTCGCAGGGCTTTTTTAGCGGATATTATGCTGTAAAGCGCCCGTAAGAGTTGCGGGGTCCTCGGTGGTCAGCCACTGGGGGTCCGTAAGACTTGCGGGGGCCAGGTGTGAGGTCCGTTCGGCGGTGTGCCTCTTAAAGGCGCCGTCGTCTGTAAAAAGATTTTTTTTCTGCGTTATAAAAAAAAGGTACCTATATTTTACTCAATTTAAAAACTGAAAACACTAGTTTTAGGTGCATAACTTGCGTAAAAAATCCTCGTAGACAAGTGGTTGCAAAACAAAACGGCCGAAAGCGCAAAGATAACTCTGTTTATGCATGTCTTTTTAAGTGTTAATTCTTGAATTTTTATAAGTTAATTACCTTTTAACTGTAACTAGTTGAAGAAGCAATTTTTTTTCTTCTTTTTGCAGTGGAACCGGTGAAGGTCGCAGGTAGTGGGAGGGTTCGGAATGAAAGATTTATTTGTAGAAAATAAACCCTTTATTTACACAATATAATTCCGTGGCCGTCACGTCTCGGTAGGTAGGTAGGTAAATAGAAGGACACAGGCCTTACTGGGATCCGTTCTGCAGTTAAGTCGAAGGTCCAGCTCCTCCAAAGCTCCAAGCGTCAGGTAGGTCGTATACAGGCGATGAATTTCCGTTGCTTTTCAAAATCTTGCCATCGTTGCCAGGCTGGAGATTAGACAGGTATCAGCGTTGCAGTTCTAATCTCCTCATAACACATTGAACAGTCGACCAGTGACAGTGACTTAATAATTGTTTTTGGACTTCGCAAGTCGGTGCCCAACGGCCAATTGTTCGAAAAATATATAGGAATGGACAGACTGGCGTTACAGAGCGCTCAACATTAAACTTTTAGAAAGGAGAACACCATTACTAATGCTATTAAGCCCAGACAATATTGGAAACTCATCCCAGCGGGGATCCATTTAGTCAATTATCACTCGCGATGTACTTTTGTCAAAAAAGGAACGCGGATGCGTGATAGTTGTGCTTGGCTGAGACTTTCTATATATAACAATGTACTCTATGGCTGAGACTAAAAATTCAAATGACACGGCGACGCATACGAATTGCATTCCTAACACAGGCTCTGCACATTTATTCAAACAGACAAACCCGCTATCAATGCATCAACGTGATTAGCA